AGGGTTCGAAATAGCAAAGTCTAACAACTCAGTCGGTGTGATATGGCTCAACCATGTAGACGTGGTCACTCTATGTTCAATACCCAGCCTAATTATGTTCTTCAGTGGTCCTAAACAGCATATCGCCAAATAGCATGATAAGGGGGGTCGGTAGAGAAGATGATGTGACTTCCATGTATGATCTTATTGACTGGATAGCCTTATCATGGCCAACCTACAATTTGGGGATTATATCCACTATTCTTATGTCAAGGATAAATGCATTTAGTACCGACCTAGACAAAAATCTCACAATTTATTGTGAGACTCCAGATGTTGACTAATAAATGAACGTTTAACAACGTGTAAACTTTAGTATCACTCTGTTGAAAATCTCCCCTTCTTATATGGGTAGCGTATAAATTCGTTGTGCATATGTCTGGGCTTCAAAACTAAATGAACCTAATTTTAACTTGTCATTTGATATCGCTAATCTCTCAAACTGGCGGAGGCCAGTTCTTGAACTTTCACACGCTTGCTCAGAATTCGAGTGAGATGGTGTACCCTAAGGTTTGTCGGTACGTCAAGTTGGAGAGTGTTGTCTGTGACTTTGATGCGTGACATGAAAAGCATAATCTTGTAGTGGCGTTGAACCTCAACCATACTACATCTAAAGCCAAGCATATAATTACTGAAAAGACTTACATTCAACAATTGACACGAAGACAAGTTTAATAGTGGAGAACGTGAGAACATTCATTCAGTGAGATGACATGGTCCAGCCTTGCAGACGTGGTCATTCTGTATAACTTGTCTTTACTCACATCAAATATATTGTTTTATCTCTAGTCTAAATGTGTCCTTTACAAACACCAAACGTCATATCAGGGATTGTTGCGATACGACGAGTCAGAATACACAATGATGTGACTTTCACGTAGGATCTTATAGACTAAGTTTTCATACCATGACATATCTACAATTTTAGGATCAGGTCTATTATTAGAATAATACTAATATCGAATTAGACCATAATTCTAAAATCTCACACAGGTACTTGCTCATCAAGGACCAAATCTGTAGTGGTTGTACTCTATAAGAGCTTAAATAATATGCTAAAGACCGTTGTTAGATTTCCCCTTACTCCTCTGTAGCTAACCGAGAACAGACACAATGGTGGAAGCTAGTTTTCATGAGTACTAGTGCTCTATGTCTATCACACATTTTGTTGTGCGCAGAATTTATGTGATATTTTTCAAAATTAAACCTACACAGTAATTTAGCTTACAATGCTGGTATACCGGAACTTTTTAAATAGTTTGAATATCAGTTAACTCCTCCTGTAGCTCCTCATGAGTTACTGCCGGTCCCAAGCCCGGGTAAAAGAAAAGTGTTGAACATGTAGTTAGCGACCCCATTGCCGTAGAAAACTAACTCGCTAAAAAAACGCTTACCAGAAAAAAATAATTCAAACCATTTTAACTCTGCCCTGGGAGTTAGAAGGTCTTCATTTAGAAGAACTATGACGCCTCATGATGGAAGCCGAGTTCCTTCGGAAGCCACGAGGCCGATGCCCCTTCTAACAACCAGAGCAAAAATTTTTATAGGTACATGGAACGTCCAAACAATGTGGGAAACCGGGAAGACCAGTCAAATAGCAACGGAAATGAAGAGATACAACTTGGCAGTACTGGGAATCAGCGAAACCCACTGGACTCAAGCTGGACAGAAAAGGCTAGCTACGGGAATGATGCTGCTATACTCCGGTCACGAAGAGGAAAACGCTCCACACACTCGGGGAGTCGCTTTAATGCTGTCCAAAGTAGCACGAAATGCACTTGTAGGATGGGAATCTCATGGATCCAGAATCATCAAAGCATCATTCAAAACAAAGAAGGAGGGGATCACAATGAATATTATCCAATGTTATGCACCCACCAATGATAGCAACGACGAAATTAAAGATCAATTCTACGAGCGGCTGCAGTCAAGCATAGAGAAATGCCCAAGAAAGGACCTCACCATTCTAATGGGAGATCTAAATGCCAAAGTCGGAATAGACAACACCGGATATGCAGATATCATGGGACGAAATAAACTGGGAGAGAGAAACGAAGATGGTGAAAGATTTGCAAAGCTGTTTGCATTCAACAAATTGGTCACAGGAAGCACAATATTCCCATACAAACACATACACAAAGCTACATCGAAGCAGCACACACAGACCTTCCTATAGATGTCACTCCACCAACGACCGAAGAAATCAGGATGGCCATCAGAAAACTCAAGAGCGGGAAAGCAGAAAAACCAGAGAGTACACCTGCTGAAACACAGAATTCAAACATAGAAGTAACTAAGAAAGCGCTCCACATGCCAATCAAGAAAATTCGGGAGGAAAAACAAGTGTCAACTGACTGGAAAGAAGGACACCTCATCAAGATACCAAAGAAAGGAGATCTGAGCAAATGTGAAAACTACAGAAGCATTACACTACTGTCAGTATCAGGGAAAGTCAACAACAGAGTGTTACTGAACCAGATGAAGGACTCAGTAAAAGCGTTCGAATTCCAGAGTAACATAATGGATTCTGCAAAGATCGGTCGTGCACAGACCAAATTGCGACACTACGGATCACCGTCGAGCAATCAATTGAGCGGAACTCGTCACTGTACATCAACTTCATTGGTTATGAAAAAGCATTTGACGGTGTAGATAAGAGAACGTTATGGAAACTTCTTCGGCACTATAGAGTTCCTGAGAAAACTGTCAACATCACCCGAACTCATGCGACGGACTACAGTGCAAGGCCGTGCATGTAGGACAACTGACAGACGCATTCCAAGAGAGGATCGGAGTCAGACAAGGCTGCTTAATCTCGCCCTTCCTCTTTCCTCTGGTGGTCGACTGGATTATGAGGACCTCCACTTTTCACTGGAAGTACGGAATATAGTGGACAGGTTGAATGCAACTATACGATTTGGACTTCGCAGATGAACTGGCCCTTTTATCCTATACACACAAACAAATGTAGATGAAGACAACTAGTGTAGCAGCAGCCTTTGGATCAGTAGGCCTCAACATACACAAGAGAAAAGCGAAATCCTCAAATACAACACGGAGAACGCCAACACAATCACACTTGATGGAGAAGCTCTGGAAGATGTGAAATCTTTCACGTACTTGGGAAGTATCATCGATGAACAAGGAGGATCGGATGTAGACGTAAAGGCGAGAATTGGCAAAGCAAGGGCCGCATTCCTACAATTGAAGAACATATGGAACTCAAAACAACTGCCAACCAATATCAAAGTGAGAATCTTCAATACGAACGTCAAGGCAGTTCTACTGTATGGAGCTGAAATTTGGAGAACTGCAACGACCACCATCAAGAAGGTACAAGTATTTATAAATAGCTGTCTTCGCAAGATACTCAACATCCATTGGCCGGATACCATCAGCAACATCCTTCTCTGGGAGAGAACAAACCAACTTCCAGCTGAAGAAGAAATTAGGAAAAGACGTCTGAGGTGGATAGGACATACATTACGCAACTCGTCAAACTACATCACGAGGTAAGCCCCAACTTGGAATCCTGAAGGGAAGCGAAAAAGAGGAAGGCCAAAGAACACATTATGTCGGATAATAGAAGCAGATATGAAAAGGATGAATAACAACTGGACGGAGCTAGAAAGGATTGCCCAGGACAGGGTTGGATGGAGAATGCTGGTGAGCGGCCTATGCTCCTTCACGAGGAGTAACAGGCGTAAGTACGTAAGTATGAATAGCAGTTGAGAGACGAGAAATGCAAGCTCTCTGCGAAGGACATAGAGTGTAGAATAGGTCTTAACCACACCTTCTAAATGATCAACATTTTTTCCAGTCTTTTTGCTAGTTGTAAGTTCAGGTAAATTTGGAATAATGCATAAACATACATTTTCAATTGTGCTGAGTTTGTGTGTTTAAACACATGACGCGCCGTTTAGGTAGGTCTAAGTTTAGGCAATCTACCAAACGATGTTTGGTCCTTTAGTAACTTTTTTATGAGTTTTCCACTAAATTGAATTGATCTGCATAGTTGAACGTCAACACAACAAGGTGGATTGTGAACATCTGAACGATCTTTTGCTAAAATAAAGGTACGATAACGATTGGGTCTAGCTCATACAGATTCGCAAATGTAGAAGCCTTATAGAGGATACTCAGGTCTCAAGCTAGTTTCAAGCCAAAGGTTTTGTAGGTTGGTAAAACTAAACCATCATTCCCTCACTGTGAGAACTGTGCTTGATGTGACGTCGGGCGTCTTAGAGAAATAGAAAGAAAACAGAGTGCTATCTACTACTTTCTAGTCCTAATAGTTCATTCAGCTGCCCCATGCTAAAGAATGGTTGATTATATGTGGTCGAGAACTATACTATGCCTAGTGAAGATTTTTTTATTGCCGTGCTTCCCCATAAGAATACTGATCAGACTTTCCATTCTTTTTGGTATCACTGGACGTAATGCATCCGATGTTAAGCAGGTTGCATCACTTGAGTACAAGAGGTAGACAAGATTCTATATTGGGTTACGCGCTATCCGCACTTCATATCTCTTCATATACTTAGATATTTCATTTCAAGAAATACAATCAGTTTTTTCACCTCACAGTTCGTTAAGTCTCCCAAGTAAAAGTAAAGTTGATGAGGTAATCGTCTTCAAATTAAGAATTTTGCATTTGACATGTTTTTGTTCTTCTGATCCTCTAAGACTGGCAATACACATGGACACCCTCACAATAATCACAAACTGAGAACCGGTTTCTTGATATCTGTGGCCAACTGTAAGTTCATATCTACATGACTAACCACAACCTTTCCAAACTGAAAGTAAACTAACTCCCAAATATCCGATGATTTCCCTTGAAATATCAGAACCAGGTAGTAAAGTTAGTTTAACTGCATGCTCATAAAGACCTCGAACCGCTTCCTAACATTAAACAATCGTTACTGGTCTATAATAAGACTTGGTGTTTCAATTTGCAGATGTCCTTGGCGAGTAATATGAGTGACTTAAAGCCCAAGCTTGCCTTCTCATTTCTTCAGCGGAAAAAGCAACTAGTTTATAATCCTAAAGTTACATCTTTGGATGCAAATAATGGCGAAGTTACTATTGAAGAGAAAAAGGAATTCATCACATCAATTGAAGATAAAATAATGCATGTATATGTGTGTTGTTAATTTATCACTTTAGTTGTTCAACTGCAAAAAAGGAAGAGCAACTTGTCATACCATTAAAGCGTAGTAAAAGCAGCTTCCAGGAGCGGATGAGAAAGAATTTCTTGCCAGCTGAGTCCTTAGACCCCCTTACGCTTCAGGCGTTGCAAGAGATTAAGGAAGGTATTTTATTGTTTCTCAGTAATTTTAAATATCTAGAGAGCCAAGCATTTTCAAGTGATTCACAAAATGTTCATGTAAATTATGATCTTAAAATACCTGCAAATAGTTCTGAAACTACCGAGGAAGTATGATCCTTTAATGTTTTTACCACCAATTAGACTGAGAATGCAAACTATGATGCTATCCCTATTGAAAAGTTTGGTGTAGCTCTCTTGGCTGGAATGGGTTTTGACCCAAAATCTCTTGATAGCTCTAAAAGGTATTTTTTGTTTCTTAGTATATTACCTCATAGAGAGGTTTTACTACCTCAGCGACCAAAGGGACTCGGGTTAGGCGCAGACCCGACGGCAGTTCAAGATGCTAAACAAGAATTACTGAAATCTAAAATAGAAAAACTAACATGGGACCCCGGAGCGCGTTGTCAGATCGTATTAGGAAAAAACAAGGGTCTTTATGGCACGGTTAGTGAAAAAAATGTTTCTGATTTATGTTATTTCGTCAGATAACTGGTTTTTACATACTGAATCTCAGTTATGTAAGTCCACTTTAGTAGTTGTACTTTTGAATAAGTAGTTGTAAGTTGTGAAATAGGCAGCATCTCAGAGCACGGTGTAATAGTATTGTGCACAGTGGGTAAGTTTAGTTGATTCTTGTAAAAATTATAACTAAAAATGAAAAACTTGTGTAGCTAATTTCGGTTATATCTTTTAATAATAATGAGAATAGCTCCATCGATACAATGGTATTTTCCACCTTACATAATGCCATAAATCCCCGAGCAGGATCTAAGTGTAGTTGTCAATATTTGCGTTCATTTTGATGTACTTAAATAACTCAGCTTTCAGTCTTCAAGAATCAGTAGCCATCCTTTGCCCACTTGAAGCTGTAGTTAGATTCCAAGCGGGAATCTCAAACTTTTCAAGTGACTTAACAGTTTTGTAAAATCTTATAATTGTAGTACACATAAATACTCACTTGTTGTGTCCCTCTATACATCTCCTTCAGCGTGATTGATGTAAAGGACACTCACAAAATGTTATCAATCATAATTCACGACTTGAGTGTCGGATTATGAAAGCCTAAACACATTTTCAACCCTTCAGTCATCTTATTTGTAGCGCAGTCAATGTTTCAGTTTTAACCTGTGACGGGAATGTATCATGACTACTTACAATCTTAATGGCCCCTAAATACCCTGGTGCGGCCGAGGGTGAGGAAAGCCCGCTCTCCCTCTCGAAATGCTCTCACATGGCCACGCATATATAGCCTCTGCCAGGGAAGTCCTACTCACTGCCTTCTCGCAGCTGGGTGTTGTTTGCGAAATTAAGAGGACAAAAAATTGTCCGACTCTTTAACCGGCTTGGTGGGTACGGAGGATCCACCTCCGGGAGTTGGAAAACCCTGATTCCAGACCAATGGTGCACGTGGGCTCTAGTATCCTAAGGAAAAAAGGTGTATAAGCCAATCGTTGGTCACCGGCTACCATGGGACTGCATCTCATTACGATGCTCCACTGACTTGTGGATTAGACTTTCAGGTAAAAGGCTCGGGATGTGGCCCTCTAGGAAAACCATCTGCTTCGGTTTGGGCACCCGGGCAGTATCACAGCCCTCACACAAATCAATGATAACTGTTACTCGCCTCATTGTAATTGTGTGGCGCATATGTATTTGGTGCCCCCTTTTACCAATTTTTATGCGTTTAAATAAGTATACTGTATAGGTTTCATTCGAAAATGATGGGATATGATTTAACATGCTTAGAGTAAGCACTTCCCGTCCTAATTCTTATTATTTTACAAGAGGTTATGAAGATTTATCACTCAACACGCTTTCACTCATTGTCTATCAGGAATATTGGGTCACCATTTCAGTTCGAATTTATTATAGATATACTCTATGATTCCCTAGAGGTCAAACCCCCTAGCTAGCTACCCGTCGCAGATACAGTCTTTGTGGTTCAGGTTCTCTAGATTTTGGAAGTTAGTAATTATTGGTTCCTCTTGTAGACATGGCCAAACCACTCAAAAAAGGCGGCTATATATTAGTGTCTAAACTCGTAAGTCACAGACTTCTTGTTACTACATACTTGTCCGTCCCTTGTTGGTTTCCTGTCAATTATTGTTTTGGTTTTCTATTTTGCTCATTCACTCTGTTCATGCTGTTGTAGTTTACGCTAGCTTGAGTGATTTGTTTTTATATTTGATTCCACATAGTTTCGTTCGTTTATTTGTATGGATACCTAAAGTACAAATTAGTTTGTGATGGGCTTTGTTATTTCGAAAGTTTATTTTCTTCCGTACATTTTTTCCATTTACATTTTCTGCTATTTGAGTGATAAAATATGAGCTGTTAAATTTATTTGAACCTCGGTTTTATAGATTTTTAAATTCATTGAAATCAATATTGGTGCATACATCTTTAATGATGTAAAATTACCGAATAGAATTTAAAGTCACACAGGACTTTATGTAGTTTCATTTTTCTGGTAATATGTTAGCTAGATTGAAAAAAGTACCGACGTTGGAAAATCTTAAGTTTTCAAAGTAACTGGAAAACTACGTAAACCTATCCTCGGAAAACATTACCACTTACGTCGGTTTGTTGTTTTACGTTAAGTGGGAGTATAATTTAAGAAGCTTCAAGGTAACCAGCCAAACTAATACTTAAAGTCTGGCTGTTTGTCTGAGCCACATACACTTCCTGGATAAGTTACAATAGTTAGAATTGATGGCTTAGAATCAACCTTTGGAGTACACGTGCATTCAGTACATTTTTATTATGTCTGGAAGTTCTTAATCCGGGTTCTAACTTCTTTCTTTTATCCTTTTCTTGTATTTTATTCATCAGTATAGATGTCACTGCTTATATTCTTGCCTTTTCTATTGTTGCGTTTTTTATTCACTATGATCGATGTATGACATTATTTGAATTAGTGAACAGTAATCTCAGACATTAAGTTGTCTATATCTTTTTCACTTCAGTAATTAAAAGGGAACAAAGTCATTCTCAGGAAATTAAACGTCACATTTATATTTAATAAAGTGTATTTTCAGATGCAAAATGCCCGAGTAAAACTCACATCAATGGACAAACATTTTTGCTTGCTCATAGCACTATTTTTCTTCCTAAAGATACCGCAGTTTAAATAAAAGTACCAACACTTTGCTGATCAATACACCTATTATAATTGCTATCTTAAACGAAGGTGCGGAGGTAACATACCTAAAACTACTCACAAAACGGCTATATGTGACCGGTATCAACACAGTTTTTCTTTTGGAGTTGTGATCACGCTACTAGGTCTTCAAAACCACTTCTAATCCAGTTTCCTCTTCATAGCCCTTAAAATAATGTGTTCCATATTTTTGGCGAATAGCAATAACCACTACCGCGCCTTTACCATACTCGAGATTACCTTTATTTTCACGCTCCTCTATGAAATGTGTTGTATAAGTCTTACTGACCAACATATAAGTAGGTAAAAATCACTCACACCATTCTTATAAATCCTTATTTTGTTCTAGACTAGATTTCCTAAGTTTAATCACTTGAAATTTTAAAAAGCTTTTTTTCATTTCTCACCATAGTTTTCTTCAATTTGATGTCTTTGAATATACTTTTCAGGAAGTTAATTGTACTTATAATCATGTCTTTCCAGAGGTTGTGACGATTAGTAGTCAAGGTTTTTCCGTTAAGGTTGTTATAACCTCTTTCTTCTTACGGTTATGACCCAGCTATTCCTATTGCTTAGTATTCTCGGACACCGATTCACTCGACAAGTCCCCAAAACACGGCTGAACAGGAAAGAGATTATATTCCAAATAACAAGGTTAGATGGAAGTAAGAAGCAAGTCAGAAGCACAATACGGAAAACGTCAGTATATTTATAGTTTTTTACATAAGAAGATTCCAGAGTATTCTCCAACTATCGACTAGTGCTGATTGGATAAGAATTAGCCAATCAGCGCGCACCAAAGCAATCATGCATTGAGCATGCTTTAATCTAGTCTATGTCCCGCTAACAAAGGTGAAACAACCTATTTTTAATTTATGTTAAATTTCCTTAAAGGATGATCATATTTGTCAGTTATTTGGTCTAGGACAAACTATGTAAAGATATCAGATATTACTTGTCACGAGATCGTTCATTTAAGACGAATATAATTATTATTAGAGGGAACCTTTTGTATTCTAATATCTTGAAAATCTATTTTCTGTTTTTTAAGAGAATATTTCCATTTCTCCCTAAATGTCTAGTTAGAAGGACTAGATGGAGACACTGGTCGTGTGATTATTAGATTGAAAGTTTCGAAAGAAGCAGTCACGGTACTTCAACATACTGTCCGTTTGGTTCCTATCAAAGAATATGCTGCGTACTCAAATTGTATAAGTAAGTTTGTATTTTTGATCCATCTATGTATTTCAACTATCCTGTTCCATATATTTCCTGACTGTATCATTCCAATAAAACCATTACTTGTTTGTAATTTATTTATAAACCCTTAATTCTCGTGTAAATATCTACCATCACCCATAACTTCTCACATAATTAAACTTATGAATATTCTAAAAGTATCAACATTTTACAGTCTATTAGATTTCATGTGAAAATCTTAACACTACTGATTTATCCAGTAGGTTTAAAATTGGTGGAATCTTTTGAAAGTGTACTGTATTATTATCATATAAACAAATGCATCGTCACATTGAATAAATTAGGTTAAAGTGTGAAGCAATCATCATTAAAGTGTTCATTTATTTAGCTGCTTTGCACATAACTATTTGCTACTGTGATACTATCAATTTAATCACGATTGACGGAGAAGATCGGGAAGATGTAAAAACCTTTACATATTTAGGCAGCATCATTGATGAACACGGTGGATCTGATGCAGATGTGAAAGCGCGGAACGGAAAAGCAAGGGCAACATATTTACAACTGAAGAACATCTGGAACTCAAAACAACTGTCAACCAACACCAAGGTCAGGATTTTCTATACAAATGTCAAGAAAGTTCTACTGTATGGGGCGGAAACCTGGAGAACTACGAAAGCCATCATCCAGAAGAAACAGGTGTTTATTAACAGTTGTCTATGCGAAATACTTCGGATCCGTTGGCCGGACACTATTAGCAACAACCTACTGTGGGAGATTATTTATTTATTTATTTTAACATATAGATATTGGTACAAGGAGGCACCAAATACATATGCGCCACACAGATCTCATTTGATATGTGTGAGGGCTGTGATACTTCCCAGGTGCCCAAACCGAAGCAGATGGTTTTCCTAGAGGGCCACATCCCGAGCCTTTTACCTGAAAGTCTAATCCACAAGTCAGTGGAGCATCGTAATGAGATGCAGTCCCATGGTAGCCGGTGACCAACGATTGGCTTATACACCTTTTTTCCTTAGGATACTAGAGCCCACGTGCACCATTGGTCTGGAATCAGGGTTTTCCAACTCCCGGAGGTGGATCCTCCGTACCCACCAAGCCGGTTAAAGAGTCGGACAATTTTTTGTCCTCTTAATTTCGCAAACAACACCCAGCTGCGAGAAGGCAGTGAGTAGGACTTCCCTGGGAGTATCTGTATACGCAGGACCATGTGAGAGCATTTAGAGAGCGGACTTTCCTCACTCTCGGCCGTACCAGGGCATTTGGGGAGAGATCAAACCAGATCCCATTGGAGGAAGAAATCAGGAAGAAGCGCCCAAAGTGGATAGGACACACATTGAGGAAAGCACCCAACTGCATCAAAAGGTAAGCCATCACATGGAATCCTCAAAGGCCAAAGGAAAAGAGGAAGATCAAAGAACACATTACGCCGGGAAATGGAGATAAACATGAGAAAAATGAACAAGAATTGGATGGAACTAGAGAAGGTCCGGGACTAAGTGGGTTGGAGAATGCTGGTCGGCGGCCTATGCTCCATTTGGAGTGACAGGCGTAAGTAAGTAAGTAAGTACTGTGATACTATCTGATTATTTACAACAAATTTTCTCTAATCTCTTGTGTATTGATAATTTCATATGTGGTTGCCCTCTGTTCAAAAACTAACTTGCTAGTTACAATACTTAACCTTCAGCCACTAGCTTGTTAGTGTAAATCCCGCTCTCAAACTTTCACTTAGTCGCTAGACCCTTAGTTAAGTGCATAAATTTGTATTCGGCCACGAAATTTCATTAACCATTAAATTCGTTAATCTCATTGCTGTTGGAATTCCAAGCATGCTGAAGTTCATTTCAAATGTATTCTTGAATTAGAATGAATATTGAGTTAAATTAGAGCTCTGTGTATAACTTTTGTAGGTTATAAAAAGGAAGTAAAGCCATGATATATCGAAATTACCTCTGTGACATATAGAATGATGTAGAAATAGAAATTAATGAACGAAATGCTTAACTTATGGCAATTTGTTGTATTGATTGGATAAAGGTATATAAGATCTATTTTTATTGCTTCAATAAACTCAAAGATTTATATGAGATCATAAACCGATCAATTTTAGGCCACCATTGATAACCTGGAAGCACTAAACAGGCATTTTATTCTAGTGAGAAGCTGTGACCAGTGAAGTTCATCCATGTCGGATATGACGCAGTCACCTACCGAAGACAATCGAAGATTGTTGCGCAACACCATGGACTGGTTGAAGCTAGACATTTACACCGTTGAATGTCGGCTCAGCGTTTGCGCGAGACCAAAGGTCCCATACCCAGTCCCACGTTTGGGATCGTGGACGCGCACTTCTTAGGGGTCCCATACTAGGAAAAATGGCCTTCTAGTACTTCCAGGTTTTTATTGGTGGTTTAACATTGATCAGTTCGTGATCTCAATCAAAACTCAACTATCTCCACAATCCTACAGTGAAGGTCAAAGATTTGAAGCAAAAGTACATACCATCGACGTTATACAGTGAATTAATAGATTTATATGCACAATTATACTAGAATATATCATACATTTTGCTCTCTATTTTTGAATTTAAATTTTTGATTTCCAAAATTTGGACCTGCTTTATCGATTATTTTTTTGCAAATATGTGAATAATTCAACCTCCTCTTACATGAAACGATGCTCAACGTACATACTTTCTTGATAATATCAATTCTAGACCAAAATCAAGTTGATGAATACAAAGCACGCGAAGCAGAACAGTTATTACTGAAATCTAATCATAATTCCGACTCTGACCCGCCGGGATCAAAATCGACTAGATATGAACAATCGACACATAGTGACTCTATTCGTAAAACATCGAATATCTCGAAAGAGGATAAGCCACTTAAGTAATATTTACATTTTACATAACCACTAATTTTGTTAGTTTGTATATTTTTTGATGTCATATTATGATCATTTAAGTTTTAACCACAGTGAGGGTTGCTGTTGGTGAGGAAAAAACATTTGACTACACAAGGAACTAATTGGTCTGTTGGGAAACGTCATGTGTGAAATAACCAAATAAGTTCATATCTTTGGAATCACTAACTGGTCTTATCTGGGAGCGCTGAAAGACCGTTTCTTCATAGCATGGGACTCCTCATCATTGATCATCCACTATCCCGCTCGTGAGAGTCGAACCCAGGACCGTAGGTCTCGCGCGCGAACGCCTAACCCATAGTTCATGCTTGTTTAAAATTTCTGTTTTACTGCTGTATGGCGGTTTATGTATCATTCATTAATAGTTCAGTTTAACTCGGTAACGAAATACAGGTTCATTTGCTTGGTTTTGAACCGCACTTTTCTCATATGTAGGGGCTCCTGATAATGCTGTCCAGTTGAAGAATTCAGATTTTGACGGGATAAATTTGGAATTCGCTATCAGTGGTTTACATTTAACCGAAAAACAGCTGGCAATCAAAAATTTAAACACTCGTATCATAATTGTTCCCACTAATTTTAATTCTGAAAGTGAATAGTAGTTTGGTTTATTATTTTGAGAGGAAGTCAAGCATATGTTGTTAGCTGTTATCGGAAAATACTTTCTCTACGTGACACAATTTTACATATATAATTATATTACTTATAAGTAGCTATTGTTCTATTGCTCAATTTTCTTGCCATTGTTTTATTCGTTGAGAAGACAGTGAATTGGTCGGCTCCACCGCAATCAATTCTGAGCCGTGTCACCCAACGTCTCCAACCATTGTCTACGACAATAGCGATGGCCCCAACCTGAGGTCTTACATCTATCAATACGGCGCAATCCAAAAGTTAATGACTCCATAGATCTTGATTAATTTTTAGTTAAATCTAAAAGCATTTTCTGACCTCATTCCAGCGATCCTATCCGGTTACTTAAATATCAATATCTACATATTATTACTAAATTCATACGTAATTGATGTAAATTATAGCATGATACTCAAATCTCTGTTTAGTTAGTGAATTGTACATAATCTAAATGACGTTTTTTGTAATGTACAACTAGAAATCTACATATCACTTTGCTGAAGATAATTCTTTATTAGAAGGTACGTTTCTTATAGCAACCGTAAAGTGACTGTGAGAATAATAATATAAAAATCATATAGGGGGATGCGGTTGTGCTGTATATTGTGAAATATTATAACTTTTAACTCATTAGTAACTAAACTTAATGTTTGATAATCATCGATACGATTATTTCGACTGCTTTTATTTTGCATCTTATGAACTTCCCTTTACTGTAGTGACATGAGATTTAGAGACTTGGGCTGATATACATTTTTACCAGGTGTTACATCGTTCTTAATTAACTGATTACTTTTGTTTAATTAGCTGGTTATTATCATTAGTCGTCAAAGAACTTGAACTCAAGTGCACGAACCTACTTAGATTTGGCGACTCAGTTGCTTATTCATAATTATATCATTTAGTGTTTTCTTAGATTGTCGAAAATATAGTTCTTCTTCTTTTTATATATACGGATGTTTTCTTTCCGCTTCTGTAGATGTGAACCAAATAGACCATCTGGTGGTATATCTTGGTTAAGACCGAAATTAATTGTTCGATGTTTAGATCGAAATTATTGTGGTGGAAAATATAATAAAGAGAAGGTATTCTTTCAATATTCATAAGATTCAATTGTTTTTTTCTCACAACTAGTTAATTATTATTTCTATCGACGGTAGTCGATGCAGCTGTAAAACAGAATCTGGTCAGATAATCGAAGGTGATTTTTTAAACAAAGCATATTTTATTACTTTTCAATGTGATGCTTTTTGTAGGTCTTCCTATAAAGCATTTACAAACAATTATACCGCATGAAATGAATTCAGTTTTAATGATTGTAAACGGAGAAAGAAGTGGTCAGGTACGTAGTGTTCTTCATATTCTGTTTATCACTTATCTTTCATAATTTAGCGTAGAAAATCCGTTCATTATGTAATGTTTATCGATTATTGTTATCTGATTTTTGCTCTTGGTTAAACTAAATATACAAAGCTACCATAAATTATTGCTATAGTCAGTCAGTCAGTCAGTCAGCTACAACGTAGGACCAGGCACATATGTGCATCGGTCCAGGTTGCCATACCTCATTAGCACAACAAGATGAACACCGGATTCATAGGAGTGGTTAGGTCAAAGGTTGCAATAAGGATATAGTATAGGAAGGAAGAATTAGTTCGTAGAAAGAAAGATATGAAGTGATTTTAATCTCTTAGTTTAAGGGAAGACAGGGAGTGTATACACCGACGCCATTGTGATCGATTCTGAGCCATGTCACCAAGAGTCTCCAACCATTGGTTACGAAAGTCACGCGGACCCCATCCAAGTAGTCTGCATCTACCAACATGGCCAAGACTAGAAGTTAGTGACTTCAAGCACTGATGCCACGTTTTGGTTTGGCCGCCCCTAACTTTCTTCCAACCATCCCCTACACCGGTTAGCATTGCACGCCGTGGTAATCGGTGTTTAGGCATACGTAATACGTGGCCCAACCATCTCAGTCGATGAAGATTCACAACCTCATCAACTGATTTACCATCATTCCCTAATACCCTGCGTCTAACCTCACTATTACTTACCCGGTGATCCCAGCAGATGCCAGCAATATTTCTAAGGCATCTGTGGTCAAATACTTGTAGCTTACGGGTGTCTTCTACTCTTAAAGGCCATGTTTCGCTGCCGTAAAGTAAGACAGAACGGACTGCCGCGCAGTATACTCGTCCTTTTATTGATAGACGGATATCTCGCCTCCGCCAAAGGTGGCGTAAGTTGGCAAAAGCCAAACGAGCTTTTCGAATCCGTGCTGAGATTTCGTCAGACACCAACCCATTAGGGCTGATCAGACTTCCAAGATAAGTGAAGTTGTCGACGCGTTCGACTACTTCACTCCCTATCCTTAGTTCAGGTGTTGACGCAAACCAGTCCTGAAGCAACAACTTGCATTTAGAGGGAGAGAAGCGCATCCCAAACATTCTGGCATTGTTGCTTAGTGCTACCAGAAGACTCTGCATTTTATCAGCGTCTTCACCAAACAGGACTATATCATCTGCGTATTCTAAGTCGATAAGTGGACCTCCTGGAAGGAGATCAATACCCGAGAATTCAGTCGACGAGAGTGTTATTTCCATCAATAGGTCTATGATGAAGTTAAACAAAAATGGAGAAATTGGACAGCCTTGACGGACACCACTTGAAGTTGCAAAAGTAGATGACAGTTCGCCATAAGCCCTGACTCGACTAGTAGTGTTCGAGTAAAGAGCCTTCACAAGGTTTATGTACTTCTGAGGTACGCCTTTCAATGACAGACACTGCCACAGAGTCTCGCGGTCTACAGAGTCAAACGCTGCTTTTAAGTCAAGAAAGACCACCATCGTCGGACGCCGATAGGTATGCCTGTGTTCTAGAACCTGACGAATGGTGAATATGTGGTCGATACAGCCACGACCAGGTCTAAAGCCAGCTTGGTTCTCTCGAGTTTGTAGTTCGCGAGTCTTAGTTAGGCGTCTGATAATTATCGAGGCCAGTATTTTAGATACTATGTTTGTTAAACTAATCCCTCTGTGGTTGTCACAGGATGATTTTGACCCTTTCTTATATATTGGGACGATAAGTGATTGCGACCAGTCAGATGGAATAACGTCTAACTCCCAGATCTTAGCTAAAATATTAGTCAACCTAATCGCTAAAATTGGACCACCATCCTTAAAGACCTCTGGAGCCAATCCATCTGGACCAGCTGCCCTTCCTCGTTTCAGATTAACTATAGCCTTTTGAACTTCAGCAAGAGTTGGGGGACCTACTTCAATGTTCCATTCACATTGTCTGGGAATGGAGGGTAGTTGTAGAGTAGCTGAAGGCCAGCTGAACTGTTCTCTAAAATGTTCCGCCCATCGTTCTAAACGTCTGGACTGGGAGCAGATGAGAGTATCATCTTTTTCCGATATAATCTCACTTACACTTGACTTATTAATTCCAGTTTCTTTTATTAGTCTGTAAAGCTGTCTTGTGCTCCCTATAGTCGCCGCCTTTTCCATCTCTTTTGCTTTCGTTACCCACCACTGCTCACGGTCGTTCCTTACACTTTTTCTTAACCTAGATCTGATTTGTTTTCGCTCTTCATCATGTTCAGAACCTGATGGGACTAGTTTGCGAGAATCCATCAGTGTGACAGACCTTGAAGAAATCCACTGGTTCCTTGCAACTCTGTGGTTTAAGTCACTAATAGATGTCACTGCTGTTTCCACAGCTGATTGTATGCCCTTCCAAGCAACATCTGGGTCAGCCTCGTCTTCACAACTACCCAAGTGTGACCTCAGTTGTTCCTGGAACCTACTTTTGGTTTTCTCGTTACTCAACTCAGTTCTAACGGGTCTTTTTAATGTGGCTTTTTTGCGTCCAGTGAGGCGCAAGCAGATGTGTGCCCGTATTAGGGCATGGTCAGAGTCCAAGCAGGTACTCCAGAATGAGCGACAATCTTCTACCGACCCTCTCCAACGATGACTGATGGCAATATGGTCTATTTGAGTCCATCGTTGGTTTGGTGTAGGGGGTCGCCATGTTAGACGATGTCTCTCCTTATGCTTGAAATTTGTGTTTGCTAAAAATAAACGATTGTCTGAGCATAGCTGCAGCAGACGATCACCATTATCTGTTCGCTGTGTCGGAATACTAAAATATCCACCTAAATGCCTTTCTGTTTGGTTTAAGCTACCTATCTGAGCATTAAAATCACCTGCTACGAGTACTATGTCTGAGCGTTTAGCTTTCTGAAGAAGTTCAGAAAGCTTTCTGTAAAATTCATCTTTCACTTCATCTGAGCTGCAGTCAGTGGGAGCGTAGACAGAAACGACAAAAAGGCAACGACGTATGTCCCTATCCTTCCGAGTTCTTACGTAGCCGTCCAGCCGAACAGCACATAGACGACTGTTGACGGGGATCCACTCTAGCAGTGTTTGTTCGGCCCTCATGCTTAGTGCTATGCCTACACCTGCCAGTCCACGAGAACTGGCCATCGGGTCACCAGATACACGAAGGGTGTATCTCGTTGGCTCTCCGTTCTGCCGAGGTGAGGTCAAGTGAATGACCACACTGGGATCCTGTATGCGTGTTTCAGAGACACAGCATACATCAATGGAAAGAGACTCTAGGGTTTTAGCCAAGGAAGCCTGCTGACCGATTTGACATAGAGTGCGTACGTTGAAAGCTCCAATGTGTAGTTTGGAGCGAGGTTTCAGTAGACCTGGGACAGAGTTTTGAGCACTAGAATCGTTGGCTATGGTGAAACTTGAGGAGGAAGCCGAAAGAGGAAGTTTAGAGTTGAAAGTCGATGTAGGAGCAATAATAGGAAGTGAAGACGGAGGTTGATTACGAATACAGTGGTCTTGAGTGCTGTTAGAGGTATGAGGGCGGTTATCACTTCCCGGTTGCCCACACCGTGGAAGGGTTCTTCTGGAGGTACCTGAAAAGGAAATTGGATTAGAGGTGGTCTCAGTGACCTGAGAGCGTGACCGCAGTGCCCAAGGGACAATTGCTTGAGGCCGGTCGCGCACGGCCTTTTCGTGGAAGGTTTTTGACGTGTTAGCTTCGTTCTTCAAAGGGCCTTACCGCCGGAGACGGAAATCCGTGAGGTAAGGTGAGGTGTGCATTTTTAGGGTCGACCTTTTCTAACCCCACCCCTCCTTGTGGGAAGGCAGCATCGCTGTCATGCTGGTTGTCTGAAGGAAACACCTTACTGCTGTCACACCTCTGTACAGTCAGCAGTACGACTTCGCCTTCGGACCTTGGGTTTGTTGCTTTTAGTCTTACCGCTCTTCAACCGACCTGTCTGACATGGTAGGACCTTGAGGAACGGTTGTTCCAGCCAGTATAGCTCGGTTGCTTCATCACGATAGGCAAGCCCGACCACCACGTCAAGGTAGCAACAACGGTCGGGATTATTGCTATACGCCGTTTACCCAAGCACAATTTTCTAACCGGTAAGCTGAGATCTTGTGGCTGACTGGTTCTATCTTCACTTCGATTGAATCTTATGTATTTAAATGCCCATTCTTAGACGATGAATTTTATAATTTTCGTAACCGTGCATTATTCACCAGGTACAATATAAATGTTACAAATAGTCCGAAATAAATCCTATTTTAATGTAACACAGTATTGTTATAACAATTTCTTAATCCTTTCAGTACTTTGCATTTTTTTAACTATCCATCCGCCACTAAGAAACTTACTTACGCCTGTTACTCCTCGTGGAGGAGCATAGGCCGCCCACCAGCACTGTTCATCCAACCCTGTCCTAGGCAATCCTCTCCAGCTGCTATATCCTATTCATGTCTGCTTCTAATTCCTGACATTGTGTGTTCTTCGGCCTTTCTCTTTTCCGTTTCCCTTCAGAATTCCATGTTAGCGCTTGCCTCGTGATGCAGTTTGGTGATTTGCGTAATGTATGTCCTATCCACTTCCAACGTCTTTGATGATGGTTGTAGCAGTTCTCCACGTTTCAGCTTCATGCAGTGGGACTATTTTGACGTTCGTATTGAAGATTCTCACTTTGATATTGGTTGGCAGTTGTTTTGAGTTCCATATGTTCTTCAATTGTAGGAATGCGGCCCTTGCTTTGCCAATTCTCGCCTTTACGTCTACATCCGATCCTCCTTGTTCATCGATGATACTTCCCAAGTACGTGAAAGATTTCACATCTTCCAGAGCTTCTCCATCAAGTGTGATTGTGTTGGCGTTCTCCGTGTTGTATTTGAGGATTTCGCTTTTCTCTTGTGTATGTTGAGGCCTACTGATCCAAAGACTGCTGCTACACTAGTTGTCTTCATCTACATTTGTTCGTGTGTATAGGATAAAAGGGCCAGTTCATCTGCGAAGTCCAAATCGTATAGTTGCATTCAACCTGTCCACTATATTCCGTACTTCCAGTGAAAAGTGGAGGTCCTCATAATCCAGTCGACCACCAGAGGAAAGAGGAAGGGCGAGATTAAGCAGCCTTGTCTGACTCCGATCCTCTCTTGGAATGCGTCTGTCAGTTGTCCTACATGCACGGCCTTGCACTGTAGTCCGTCGCATGAGTTCGGGTGATGTTGACAGTTTTCTCAGGAACTCTATAGTGCCGAAGAAGTTTCCATAACGTTCTCTTATCTACACTGTCAAATGCCTTTTCGTAACCAATGAAGTTGATGTACAGTGACGAGTTCCGCTCAATTGATTGCTCGACGGTGATCCGTAGTGTCGCAATTTGGTCTGTGCACGACCGATCTTTGCAGAATCCATTATGTTACTCTGGAATTCGAACGCTTTTACTGAGTCCTTCATCTGGTTCAGTAACACTCTGTTGTTGACTTTCCCTGATACTGACAGTAGTGTAATGCTTCTGTAGTTTTCACATTTGCTCAGATCTCCTTTCTTTGGTATCTTGATGAGGTGTCCTTCTTTCCAGTCCATCGGCACTTGTTCTTCCTTTCGAATCTTCCTGATTAGCATGTAGATGATATCACTAGGCTTCATACCAACAGTGTGCTTTTAAGACCTAACACACTAAATTTTACTTTGTAGAGGAGTTCAATTATTATGACAGGTCTATAATCTATAACGAATATTTCATAGGAATTAGGTTTATTAGTGAGTATTATATTTTGTCAAACATATATCTAAATCATTGTATATGTCTACACCTCATCTGTCCTTTTAGACTATTCTTGTGTATTTCTTTCCAGAGCAAGACCAGAAAATCTTAGAAGACTTTAATTCAGTAAATTATTTGTTGACTTTAACGGACGTTTTACGATAATTCGGTTACGAAATTTTGTGATCTTCAGTCCTATTGTTACCAAAACTCGAATAAGTATGCCTACAGTTCAAGAATGTATTAGTGTCCATACTAACTCAGCTAGGGACTTGTAGGAAAGCGATCTTGGCCTAGGTAAATAACTCACTCCCAATAAACACTGTCCACACTTTTGTTTTATCGTGTAACCCGTCTAAATTTGTTAAACACATCATAGATTATTACTCTACGCTATTTATTGCTTAAGTTTATTTGCAAGTCTACCAATATCCATATTGCGTATTTCTTGTTTCATATCACAAAGTCATATTCACTTAAATGACAACTATTCTGAAATTCCTCAATTTAATCATGATCATAAACATTGTTACAGTATTTCATTAAATTAATCAACAGTGTAGTGATAACCATTATTCTAAGTACACTTGTTAATCATCAGCATAAACTTTGCTACGTCAATACTCTAAAACAACTTACATGTAAGAAATGATTATCTCCATAGTCATAAATACCACTTGACGTTTATCGTTTCTATTTATTATAAGACCAACTAACAGTACCGGATGACCCAAACTAAAACAAATGGAGTGGAGTTCGAACTTACAACCTACTAATTAAAAACTAAGTGTTTCGCTTACTAATTCATCGTTGGATGTAAATAATAATGCTTAGGAGAATTGTTGTATAGCAAAACATCTATAAAGTATCAATAACTGTCTAATCATTTTTTCCATTTCCTTCCTTTTTGAATAGCTTGCACGATTAATTAGACGTGATAGTCGTAACCAATTAGTGGATGTAAAAACTCGATCTGGAATCCCTTTGCAATATCATTTCGATTGTGTATGTGCCATACATGATCCATTCGGGAATTGATAGAAAAAAATAATTTACGACATTCTTGAATGTTTGGAATTTTTGTAAATAGTATTTTTTTTACTTATTTACATATAAAAATAAAAAGATCATCTGAAAAATTAGAAATGTCTATTCCTAATTGTTTCTCCTCATTTTACAGTTTAGTTTTTCTAAAGCTACTGTTGAATAAAAAAACTTAATTCTGAGATCATATAATTGTGTTTAATTGACAAACTTGGGTAAAATCATGTACTCACTAATTACTAGCTTCGAGAGGTAATTCTCGGAGTTTTAATGAGAAGCCACATCCAATAAGGCTAATCCGTGTCGGGGCATTTACCTACCGCAGGCAATAGAAGATGGTCGCACAATATCGTGGAGTAGTTGAAGTTAGACTTCAGTGGTCCAGAGGTTAAGTGTTGGCGCGCTGGCTTTGAATTTTGCGTGTGGGATCGTGGATGCACACTGCTCACTAGTTCCATACTAGGACGAAACAATCGTCCAGTGCTTCCAGGTTTTCATTGGTAGTTTAAAATTGATCGGTTCATGATCTCAGTTAAAAGTAACCTTAGGAATTTAATATCGTCTATTAGCTAAAGCGAATCAATAAATTACAAAGTTTCTCAGATAGTGTGTCAGTGTAACAAAGAAAATAGCGTGATTAGACATTTATGCAAATTAATAAACATTAAAGTAATATTAGGTAATGAAATTCTTCCTGCCCTCCAAAAGGAAAGTAAATGGATTTAAATTATGAACTCATAAATTTAAGAAGCTATTGTTGATAAGTCGATGTAACCATGTGACCGATTAAAACTGGATGACCTGTGATCGTTAGATTTATGCAATCATTATGAATTCTCTAAGTCTATACATTGCTTGAGATTTATGCCAATTTTAGGTAATGAACAGCTTTTGTATGCAGAATATAGTTCGAATATACGACTTATTGCATATTAATGACGGCTTTACAGTCTAATATACCTGCATTTTACTTCGAAATTTCGGGTAGTTCCGCATTATGCAAGCGATGATATACAGAGACATAGATTAACCAAACACATGAAAACTTTTAATCGAACAATTTAAGTAAGTATTTGATCAGGTTGTCTATTGACTCCAATTAATAAACCTAAATCTACTGGGCAGAAGGTAGAGTGGACGTAAGTGTTCTAGAAATACCCGTTGAAATTTTATTAAATCATCCATCCAACTACGCAGAACGACAGAATTTTTCTGTGACCTTAGTTCGTGAACTTGTGTTTTCTTAGCCACCGTTTATTTCAGTTACTCAAGTGAATGGATTCATAAGGCTTTGATTTCAAATTCATGACTATTTCTGCAGTAATTTCCTTATAGCCTATAAAAAGATTGGTATCTTCATTCACTTAAGTTTCAAGATAATTTCAGATATCGACTATTTATACAATCTGGAACATCTAGTTGATCATTCTCCTACTACTGAATGGCTTTGTTGTCCGTCTCATACATCAATGCACTCGTTTATAACATAGATTGAATCAATAAGACAAAAGTAAAATGTTCACAGATTGAAATCATGAGTCAGTTGAAGCTAGACCACCATTGAAAACCTGGAAGCACTGGACGGCCGTTTCGTCCTAGTATGGGACTCCTCAGCAGTGCGCATCCACGATCCCGCACCACGCGGGGCTCGGACCCGGGACCTAGTGGCTTCGCGCGCGAGCACTTAACCATTAGACCACTGAGCCGGCATCCAACGGTGTTAATGTCTAACTTCAACCAATCCACGAAGTTGCGCCACCATATACCATTGTCTTCAACTGACTCATAATTTCAATCCGTGAAAATTTCTAAAAATCTCCACAAACCCCTTCTGATAAAAGTAAAATGTGACAAGCAAAAAGCTCGATAAAAAACATATACTTTATAACTAGATTTATTAAAAACTAATATATCTACAGAAACATGCCCATTGTAAGTGACTGACATTGTATAAATGTTTACTGGTAAATTATGCCATATACTAATTGTAATTAGTATTAATCTAATGATGAGGGGTATTCCTGTCTCAAAAAAGTGTTTTCGTTTTGGACATTATGATGCTTAGTATGATAATAAAAGCATCGTACTTAAATCATCTAACTTGAAGAATACTACACTACCAAAAGTAGTAAGCGCAGCATTGTAGAATAATGTCTCAATCTTGTATAGCATGCACCCTAGTAGAAACTAAGGGTTTTATAAGATAATGATCAAACTCACTGTTTATTTTGACTGGAAAATAATGAATTTTAAGATCCTTCATTTAGTTGGTGAATAAATAAAATTGCTAAGAACCCCGAAAGGAATCCATTTGCAGTTATACATTTTCCTTCTAACCAATATAAAGTGATACTTCATGTATGGTATGCATCGACTGGTAGTATGACAGTAGAAAGTGCATTTTGTGAATTCTTTTGGACACTCCATTTATTTCGGAGAGTTACATCATTCTTAGATGCCTGGTAAGCACCACAATTTCGTAATAAATATGGAGAGCTTGACGATTTTTAAACCACCTAACTTGTGATACAACTGATATTATGTTCACTAATCGTCCACGCATGTACGAATGAACTTATTGTAATCTGATTCTAAAAGACAAAATGACTCTGATAATTGGGGGCATAAATTCGATGTGTGAAATACATAACTATTACAAATACACAAAATTGTAAGTACTTAGTTACCTACCAATACACAGATGAAAAGTCGTTATTTTCATTAGATTCAGGTAATGATATCAAGCAATAAATAATCAGCTGATTATTGTATATTACATTAAATTACACTGATTTTCAAACAGAAGTACTTTCCAAGTCTCCTTGTAGTTTCCTAATGAAATTCTGTTTCGTCTGCTCTGTGGGATGTTGGAAATTTCAATGAATCACTATAAACTAGCTGGTTTTGTTCTGGGAAACATCTAACAATGACTGTCTGATTGCCAACACATACGTCACTTATGTTACTTTTTAAATACGACGATCACAAAAGCTATAGAGTTATAACTTAACAAATGAGATGCTATGACTACTTGATATAAGTGGACGAAAAGTGATACGGCTCGATACATGGAATATGGTAGGTCTTCAGATGAAAAATTTGTCATTCACCAACAACAGATCTAAAAGTAAACAAGACTAAATCGAAACTAGCCCCATTATCGACAGTTATAACATGTGATGATATCACTTTCTTCCTGCTACGATAACCTATCACAATGGAGACATGAACAGTGAATTACAAACACCCTAGTTCAACAATTAGAACCCAGACGTTATCATGCAGAACCTTGGTCCTGATTACAATCCCGAAATTCCAATATTAAAAAAATTTAAAAAAACGCACCACATTGAACTATTTCAATTAAGTATAAAACAGTGTTACAAAATTGTCCTACAAATACTTAATATCAGAATGGAGATTTGTGGTAATTTTAATAATTGAATTCATGAGGTGAATAAAACCAGACCATCATGGCAAACCTGGAAGCACTGGATGGCCGTTTCGTCCTAGTACGGAACTCTTCAGTAATGCATAATCACGAGGGTTATATAAAGCAGTTTGAAGAACAAGGATTATGATTTACAGTTGATAGTTAGGGTTAGAGATTAGATTTAGGATTTTTATCACGAATTGACATCAGTTATAATGTCAAGACTTTATTTAGCCAAATGGATGAATGAATTTCGCGCCAAAATCTAAGACCTGTTATGGTAAATCTGATTGATTCGTCCATAAATTATAGTCTCATTGAAGTATCGTTTATGCACAAATAAATGGAACAAACGATAAAGAAATAGTGATAAGTAAATGCAACTTAACAAATTTCATCGAATGCTCTTTTTAAACAATCCAAAATAATTGAATAGTCATAAATGATTCATTATTTTAATAAAGAAATGAATTATCTCTGAAAAATCTTCAATATTTGTAATTAACATAATGATCTTTATCATATATAGAATTATATACCCCATTCATACAATAATTCATCTATGATGGATAGTGGCTAGCAGTGGAATCCAGGACGAAACGCGCTTTTCGTCCTGGATTCCACTGCTAGCCACTATCCATCATTGCTTACAAATAGCTTGTGAATTAAGGTAACATCGAGACACGCATAGTATACCAATAACAGACTGATCAATTGCAGTCTTAAACCTCAATGGGAAGATACAAGCCAAACAATACAAAGTGAATAATTTCTCTACTTTTAAAATCATTCCCAATGATTCCCAATGATCCTATAATTGACCTCTTATAATTAAATATTTTTAATCAAATCATTATTTATTTTACTAAATACATATTTAACCTTGTAATAAGTCTTAACTTATTAACCAATCAAATTACAGAATTTATTGATTTAGTCAAGGTTAAATTATAATTATCCTTTTAAAATTCTGTAAAAAGAACAATAATTATTTGTTAAATCAATTTTCTATTGGATCTACTAAATTTTATTGTTTTAAAAGGGAAATTTAAAAATGACTGATTTTAATGATTTAAAATTATTAAATAAGAAATTAAATTGTGAATTAGTTAACATGAAGAAGAAGAATAAGAAGAAAATCCATCAATCAAAAGTAAGTTGATAATAATAAATTGTATCAAGTCTATCAATTCATAATTAGCTTAGTCTTAAAAAGGGAATTAATTATTCATACTTTATCCTCTTTGCGATAATTAGTTATTTTCCAAATAGATCATCTTTATGATTATTATGATGGTAATATGAAAGTTGCCCAGGATAGGGTTGAATGGAGAGTGCTGATGGGCAACCTATGCTCGTCCACGAAAAATAATGGAAGTAAATAAATAAATAAATCTGAAAGCCAATATACTTGAATCTACGTGCTCCATCAAGTCTTTTTCAGATTTAGCTATCTCTCGCTCTTATATTACAAAAAGAGTCGGTCTTTTTGTATTGGATTTTTAAAAAATTCACAAAAATTTAAGAAATCACGATCATTATCTAGTGAAGAATCACTTGAATTAGTAAAGAATATGAAAAGTTGTATCATATACACTAATTGTCGGTACAATCTTCTGACTGTAACAATGAAATCAATACATGATTTACCATATTCGATAAAAAGATTCATAATGAAGTATTTCTATTGAGATAATCAACTAATTGATGTTAAACCACCAACGAAAACCTTGAAGCACTGGACCGCCGTTTCACCCTATTGTGAAACTCCTCAACAGCACGCATCCACAATTACACTCGCAGGATTCGAATCCAGGGTCTTCAGCCTCGTGCGTGAACGCTTAACCTCTAGATCACTGAGTCGGCATCCAACAGTGTTAATGTCTAATATCAACCAGCCCTGGGTTGCAATTCCACGAGCGGGATCGTGGATGCGTACTGCTGAAAAGTTTCACAGTAGGGTGAAATGGCCGTCCAGTGCTTCCTGGTTTTCATTGGTGGTCTAAAATCAATTAGTTCATGATCTCAATCAAAATTTTAATAATCTCTACAACCCTATATTGATGAAGTATTTCTATTTGATTGAGCTTACAACAATGAATTTCAATATGTATTTATTAATTTTCATAATAATGTATTACTAGAGAAATAGGATTTCAAGCAATATTTTCGAATTCACTTAGATCAATAAGTTTCTACAATCTGTTTTCTGAATATAGTATAGTCACAACCATTTATTTATTTACACTCTGCTCCATAGAATCCAATTAAAATCATTAATTAGGCAATTGTATAGACTTTCCGTTATTTTTGAACTACCACTTGTCTAAAACCATGATAACAATGAAATCTAATTAGATAGTATGCAATTTTTGGAGAAAAATATCCATGATATTACCTCATGTTATTGTTTAGAGAACTTGAACAACAGAACTAATATACCGATAGTATTAGGTGATTTTTTTTCATTACGAATTAAATCTAATTTGTATTGTACATTAGTTTCCGATTCTCAGTGTATCAAAATACTACTTATTAATCTAATTGTCGTCCCTTTTTGTTAAGTTTATGTCCGGCTTTTTATCACGTGGTTTATCCACCATTTAAAATACGACTTATACAATCTTAGCACTGTGCCAAACCAATGTCGTTCGACGGGTATGGGCAGCCTAGCGTCCTTATTGGTCCTATGTCCGCTTAGCTCGTCCACTTGAGTCCAGAACACCAATACCAGCTTTCACTATGCCAATCATATATTTCAAACATACTGTGTTTATATATCAAACAAACAGACCGCAACGCACCACAAAATAGGAAATAAAATTTGTACACTATAAAGCCAAAAAGTGGCTGTGAACGTGGGAGGCAGTAGTTAATAAACTGAGTATAATTTAGGGACAGTAAATCGTATAATAATAAATTATAGGTCAAAATGAAGCTTATAATAAGAGGAATATAAATATACATAATCTAATTATTGAGTAGTTATACCATAAGAATGTATAGATAATATTAGTCAATTAATATTGTCTCAGAAGTTACTCGTGATTTAATCTTCGCTCGGATATAACACTTTTTAAATAGCATCTACAGATGTAACATTTTTGCTACTTAATAGAGAATTAGTAAAAGAATACGTTTTCACTGATAAGTTTTACCAGTTGTACTATCTATTACTTAGAGATTTCACTAAATATTTCAACTATCATTTTGTTGTGTTAACGATAAGTAATTCAAACAAAAATAATTAATTTTATCGACGTGTATTTACCACATTTGCATAGTATGTATTCTTTATAACGTTCAGTAGGATTGATAGACTTTATGATAGCTAACTAATAGTGAATTAATATTGATAACAAACTTCCTTCAAACGACCTTACAGAAAATACCATATTTTGTTTTCAGATTGTCGTTCCTAAAGTGGTCAACCGCTAATATTAATAAGTTTATGATACAAAAATAAAAAAAATAATTATTAGATTGATATCTGTGATGTTTGATGGATATTCTAACTTATTACCCAAAAATTCGAATATATCCTACCTGATAAGTGTGGGTCATTTTATCAAGGTGGAAAGGTAGCTTACAGCTTAAACCGTTTAACTTTCAGCTTAATGTTAATCATGCACCAAGTACAGTTTGATATATTCAGCATTCACTAATACTGTTATTACTTCTACTACTATGAGATTCGCCCTGACGATTTCATGTTGTTGTACTGATTAAAGTATGGTCATTTGAACAGATGTACACACGTGCCAGATTCTATATTGTGTTTGACTGACGAACTGACTGGATGGCTAGGCATTCAGTAGTATAGTTTGTGAGGACTAATGATACTACATAGCCGTCCGAACCAATATAAGTGAGGTGTATTTGGAACATGTGATCTACTGATCCAAGTTCAAATGATTTAACAAATAATCCATCCCTTGAATTTCAACCACTGAATTACAAGTTCACACCCTCTCTACCAATTTTTATTTGAATTTTATCATTAGCCTATGCATGTATCACCCTGTACTTTTATAACTGAGGTACATTAGAGAACATCAAACACTTAAATAATTTAATTTTACTCCGACTTATGGTTTTTGAACTCTTAATCACATAGAATTGTTACAAATTTACTTTAAAGTACTTTATAACTGGTAAAAAATTAACATTTTTTGACATATTTTCACGTTTTACGGATTATCTTCATTAAATATGATTAATCTTATATGAAAAAGATACAAACAGCTTTCACTTTCACATAGTAAAGCATAGGTGAATATAGTGATTTGTTTGGTTAAACTATTCCATAAAACGGAATCGGTCTTGTTTATCATTGTGGTCACTCGGAAACAAGCAGTATCAATAAGTAGTTTTCATAATTCATTTACTTCATTATAAAGGCTACTTTTAATCATCTTGACATTTCAATCTAATGTTGTATAACCTTCAGTCCTAAACGAATTCTGTCGGTCAAGTTGCTATGTATCACCACGATTCAGGGGTTCCTATTGACTATATCCAACTATATAGAATTAAAGAAAGAGGAGAACAATGTTAAGTCACTAAGATTGAACTGAGTTTATGAATTTAAAAATACCTTTATTATTATATCAGTAGTCAGTAAGACTTTTTAACCAAGTAATTCAGTTAATTACGAAACAATTACTAAATAAAGAATAACGTTTTATTAAGGCGTTCCCTAAATTATTAGAAAGACAATTTTTTTAAAAGTATTGGTCAATATAATTACTTTTATAGCTTGTCATTTAATGTTTCTTGTTATATCTGGTCGTCATTGATTGTTATGTCGGTAACGCTTATCACTTATTCTCGGAACGTGGGACCTCCGCGATTCCCACAACGCGAAAGTGAGAACACAAAGACTGGTATAAGTGAAGATTTATTATTGTACACCCATTTTGATTAATAATTAGAATGTAATCACATATATGAAAAATACTTAGAGTGATAACACACCATATACTTGAGCATAGTTCATGTCAATCGAATACAAGAATATCGCATATTATACAGAATAAAATGTCATGTGAGAAAAGAAAACAAATACTAGATTGAGTAATCATTACATTGAATCAAAACGGAGGTAATCTTGAACTAATCTCATAATGAGTAAATCAATCGAAAATTGACTTTTCTTTTCATCATATCAGTTTTCTTTTAGGATCAACTAGTTTATTCAGTGTTAATTTATCATAAAGGTGATCAATTAATTATCTTTTCCAACCTTTGATTTGTTAACTGCACGAATCAATATGTATCCATATTAATTCCTTTTTACCACGACACATATTATGATTGCAAAAAAAAGAATTAGCAAGTACTTTGCTTCCACATATATCTTTCAAAGTATTGTTGCCATCAAATATAGTTTCATATATTTGACTTTATTCCAAACCATGTCGTATAACAACTAGAGTTTCTCAGAGGCTGCCTAATTCAAAGATGCCGAATTGGAGTATGAAACTATAGTCCATTATTTAAATGACCAGTGATTTCCTCCCGAAACAGATCCTTGCAAATTTTGATTATCTATTATCATATTAGATGTTAAGATAGATGCACACTAGTAATTATTAGGTATATTTATATTAATATAGTGAAGGGCAGTGATGAAGATCTTAGTCAACTTATTTAATATACATGAACAGTGAGAACATTAGAGACCAGTATAAATATCTCGTCGTTATTTATAACTGATGATTAGTACACAGACCTGAATATCTTTAAACTGACCTTTAAATTTCATGTAGTCGAAAATCTAAGTTGTAGCAACTTATAATACGTTTTATTTGATTTCATCAACTCTGTGAGACAGCAATACTTACTATTTAAGGTTGGTAACAATATATAGTAGCGTAGTGAACGAAGACTCGGGTATAGTAAACTGCGTTTGTAAAACAATACACCGAATGCACAGTTTGCACATCTTCCTTGAATTGCCTCTTATAAGCTCTATCGTTCTTTTGTTCCTGTTACTACTCAGACTGCTTCATTTTTCTTTCCCTTCTTCTCATGTTCCTTATCTGTCAGTAAAAATCTTACTTCCAATTATTGATGCATTCTACTTTTATCTGTCCGTAGTAATAATAATAACATAAGAATCAGTCAATATATTTGAAACAAAACCTAATCAGTAATAAGAGTCATGACAACATTTGTAAATGTGACACTTTTCATGAATAACATTTATTAAGCTCATGAACTATATGCTCTAATTTTTAATAATGTGTAACAAGATTAGAAAACCTGAGATTCTTCAGAGGAGTAAAACGATACTGTATTTTTTGTAAATTAGTCAATAATATTTTTACTATAAAGTTACAGATTATCGAGAGTTGAAAAGGTTGACCAACTAAATTCTAATTCTTTGTCTTAAGTGGTACCACACTCTCTTCTGGGCCAATTGATCACAAGTTCGATCAGATGTGACTTCATCGGTGTGCAATTTCAAAGAGTCTTAAATCAAGATTGTCTAGTTACCCAGTCATCCATGGATTTCATTGATCCTTTGGTTGAAAATAAACTTCAAAAATGAATTGATTCATTTACTTAATACTACAAACAAATGGAGGTAACTGTTATTTAAACCTATTCTTGATTTAAAACAATTAGTCCCTTTGATAAATTTCGATAATGCAATGAGAAGACGAAGTTTATCAGAATTATGTGATATATTTGCGCAATACATTTCGAACAATCTGATCACACATGTTGAAACGGAGACTTAAATTAGCTATCAACCAGACATTTTATGTAGCCCAACTTGTCGTTATCTAAAAGACAAAGTATATGTTTCACCAAAAGCCCAAACAGCACGAAAGCGATTGTGTCACATCCCACTGTGTCTATCAATTTACACGTATGTGTGGAAACACTTACATAGGGAGGAGCAATCGTGATTTGCAATTAAGGGTGGGTGAACACATACCAAAATGGTTGCAGGAACAAATGGATTCCAATGGTCAAATAAGATCACAGGATAGACAGACATCATCCTCCATTGCGAAACATTTGACGGGTCATAAGGCTGACATCAAACCAGCATTTGTAGTGTTATACAAAAGTCTTCAAGGACGTATACTAAGGTTTATTGAAGCCTTGGCTATACGGAAATTGAAACCCCCTTTATGTGTTCAAAAACAATTTGTCCTTACACTTAACCTACCCTGGTAATACTGATTTATTATCCAGAGTGGTAACCACATTTGTTTTTGTGTACTTTAATATTTCTCCTTTGTTATGACTTACCCTTAACCTGTCTAGTTGATCTTTTAATTTTCATATATAAATGTTCTTAACAAATATATGTGTGATCAGATTGTTCGAAATGCATTGAGCAAATATATCACATAATTCTGATAAACTTCGTCTTCTCATTGAATTATCGAAATATATTCTTGATTGCTATCAGATCTCCTAGCAGAATGGTAGGATCTTTAGATACAATATAAGTTTCAGCTTTTTTTAAATTAGGTTTATATATATAAGGTTAGAATTTTCTAGTTTTTTATATTAAAAACCCTAAATGATTACCTTCTGTTATCATACATACATTCTGAGTGGATTATCTCGATAATTTCTTTGTAATTGACTGATCATTGAACAGTATCTAGTGTCATATTTGTCTTATCACTTAGCGCTGATCGAACTACCCCAATTAATTTACAACGGGTTAGTAGTTTACATGGCTCAATATTGCATGCATTAGACTTAGATTTTAGGCAGTTGGTGATATTCAGTAATATCGTAAGACTGAACTGCTCTAACAAACAATTGTAATTAAATTACTGAGTTATATGATTGTTCCTTCCCAACAGCATATAAATCGTATTACTGTCAAATAGTTATTATGTCAAACTGTTGGTAAAGACCATAGGAGTAGTTGTTTTATGGTTTAATTACAGAGAAACGATGTATTATTTATCAACTCACCAAGAGTATTACATTTCTGAACTCTGTTTCATATCGCTTAGATTAGGTAAAAGCTTTCATTTTAATATGAATTATTTTATAAAATTCATATGTGGATGAAATATACAAACTAAATAATATTATCCAAGTACATCCTGTAAGCGCTAGTATTATACAATACTTTAACAGTTCGAACCAATTATCACCTGATTAGATGTAGTAAATATAATTTAGTAGTAAACTGTTCAGTGCTTACAGGTTTTCAATAGTCATCCCACTCAGATTGGTTCATAATCTCAACAGAGGAAACTGATTAACCAAATTAAATGGGCAAATTCATTAATTTCACACTACCTACTATACAAAAGTATTATTGATATATAAAAATTCGCTTATTACAAACAATATTTAGCTCCTAAATTTATTAATTAAATAATGAAGACAGTTACAATGTTCTTCATGCATAGAAAACCACAATATATTCATACACTATGTACATTTTGGAAGTGATTTATAATTGAAGAACCACTCAATCTCAGAAAAACTCACCTTTATCTCTAACATTTAACAATATTGGTATTTATATTGATTTGCTAATATGAACTAAAATGACTTGTTGGTCTGGATTTAATTGGGTGGCACCAACCGAGAGTCATAAGTTTCTTCTGTCTATCCTCAAACTACCGGAATTGATATTCAACATACGCGTTTATTTATTCTTTCATTTATATCAAAATGTTATATTTTAAAAAGAATATTTTTTACTAATCATATCAGTTTATAGTCACTGGAAAATATCTTGTCTTATTTCAGACTGATAGTGGATGGGGTTGGATCATAGTCACATCGTCATTCATCATTCAGTTAATAATTGATGGAACGTTTGGTGGATTTGGAGTTTTATACGTTTCCTTACGAAATGATCAGGCATTCATCAATGAAAATTACTCACAAACAATATTATCAATGCCGGGAACCATTCAACCTGGATTTTTTCTCTGCACTGGTAGTCTCTATTCATATTGTATATCGTTTGGTATTAAATGACAACAATTCATTCTTTGCGATTTTTTTACAGTGCAGTATAGAACTTTTTCTCCTCTACTAAAGAGTTGTTAAACAGAGATAGTAGTCAGATGGAAAAATGGTTAATAATTGACAACGGTTAGTAAAGTTTACTTTTCACCAATGGATTATACATTCAAATCCCTTTTTACGTTATCATAGTATGAACAAACATGTTATACGACAGTCCGTCTAAAAAATTTGTGGATGATACAAAATGTAAGAAACAGGATGAAAGAGAAATAACTGAATGGTTAGGATATTCATGAACACTGATCGTTTTCTGACTTACTTACTTACGCCTGTTACTCCTCGTGAAGGAGCATAGGCCGCTCACCAGCATTCTCCATCCAACCCTGTCCCAAGCAATCCTTTCTAGCTCCGTCCAGTTGTAATTCATCGTTTTCATATCTGCTTCTATTATCCGACGCAATGTGTTCTTTGGCCTTCCTCTTTTTCGCTTCCCTTCAGGATTCCAAGTTAGGGCTTGCCTCGTGATGCAGTTCGACGATTTGCGTAATGTATGTCCTATCCATTTCCATCGTCTTCTTCTAATTTCTTCTTCAGCTGGAAGTTGGTTTGTTCTCTCCCACAGAAGGCTGTTGCTGATGGTATCCGGCCAATGGATGCTGAGTATCTTGCGAAGGCAGCTATTTATAAATACTTGTACTTTCTTGATTGTGGTTGTTGTAGTTCTCCAAGTTTCAGCTCCATACAGTAGAACTGCCTTGACGTTCGTATTGAAGATTCTCACTTTGATATTGGTTGGCAGTTGTTTTGAGTTCCATATGTTCTTCAATTGTAGGAATGCGACCCTTGCTTTGCCGATCCTCGCCTTTACGTCTGCATCGGATCCTCCTTGTTCATCGATGATGCTTCCCAGGTATGTGAAGGACTCTACATCTTCCAGAGTTTCGCCATCAAGTGTGATTGGATTGCTGTTCTCCTCTTTGAATTTGAGGACCTTAGTTTTCCCTTTGTGTATGCTGAGGCCTACTGATGCAGAGACTGCTGCTACACTGGCTGTCTTCATCTGCATCTGTTCGTGTGTACGTGATAGGAGGGCTAGGTCATCTGCGAAGTCCAAATCGTCTAATTGATTCTGAGCTGTCCATTGTATTCCGTGTTTTCCTTCAGATGTTGAGGTCTTCATAATCCAGTCGACCACCAGAAGAAAGAGGAAGGGAGAGAGTAAACAGCCTTGTCTGACTCCGGTCCTTACTTAGAATGCATCTGTCAGCTGTCCTTCATGCACGACTTTGCACTGTAGTCCGTCGTATGAGTTCCGGATAATATTGACAATCTTCTCAGGAACTCCGTAGTGTCGAAGAAGTTTCCATAATGTCCTCCTATCTACACTGTTTAATGCCTTTTCATAATCAATGGAGTTGATGTATAATGATGAGTTCCACTCAACTGATTGTTCGACGATGATCCGTAGTGTCGCAATTTGGCCTGTGCACGACCGATCCTTGCGGAATCCAGCTTGTTGATCTCGAAGTTGGGCGTCTACTGCATCCTTCATCTGGTTCAGCAACACTCTGTTGAAGACTTTCCCTGGTATTGACAGTAGTGTTATGCCTCTGTAGTTTACACATTTGCTCAGATCTCCTTTCTTTGGAATCTTGGAAGATCTGTGTGTGCTGCTTCAAAGCCCGGTGGATTCATTGGAACCGGTCTATTCAGGAGTTCCTCGAAGTATTCTACCCATCTGTTCCGTTGTTGTTGAATTTCAGTGATTGGCTTGCCTTCTTTGTCTTTGACCGGTCTCTCTGGTTTACTGTAATTCCCTGCTAGTTTCTTCGTTGTATCGTGAAGTTGTTTCATATTTCCTTCTCTAGCAGCTTTTTTCGCCGTCGTTGCTAGTTCTTCCACGTATTTCTTTCTCTAATGATTTTCTTCACTTGCTTGTTTGCTTCTATGTATTCAGCTTGTGCTTGGACTTTCTCTGTTCGTGTTCGGCTGTTGTTAATTGCTGTCTTCTTGTTCTTCCTTTCTTTGATCTTGTCCAGTGTTTCTATAGAGATCCATTCCTTATGACGGTGCTTCTTTAGACCCAGAACCTCTTGACACGTTGAAGTTAATGCTTCTTTGATACTTTTCCAGTTGTCCTCCACCGTTGTTTCTTCTTTTTCAGTAGATCCTGTAAGGCTTGGAACCTGTTGTTGAGAGCTATCTTGAATTCATTGAGTTTGTCAGTGTCTCGAAGGAAGGCTGTATTGAAGCTTTGTAGTGCTGTTTGTCCACTTGTCCAGTTCTTTTTTAGCTTCAGTTTTAAATTGGCCACAACTAGGTGGTGATCTAAAGCTATGTCAGAACCTCTCCTGGTTCTCACATCTTCCATTGTCCTTCGAATTTTTTTGTTGATGCAAATATGATCTATCTGGTTCTGTGTAGTGTGGTCCGGTGGGATCCATGTAGCCTTGTGTATACGTTTGTGTGGAAATATTGTGCCTCCTATGACCAATTTGTTGAATGCACATAGATTGGCAAATCTTTCTCCATTTTCATTTTTCTGTCCCAGTCCATGTCGTCCCATAATATCTTCATATCCGGTGTTGTCTATTCCGACTTTGGCATTTAGATCTCCCATTAGAATGGTGAGGTCCTTTCTTGGGCATTTCTCTATGCTTGACTGCAGCCGCTCGTAGAATTGATCTTTAATGTCGTCGTTGCTATCATTGGTGGGTGCATAACATTGGATAATATTCATTGTGATCCCCTCCTCCTTTGTTTTGAATGATGCTTTGATGATTCTGGATCCATGAGATTCCCATCGTACAAGTGCATTTCGTGCTACTTTGGACAGCATTAAAGCGACTCCCCGAGTGTGTGGAGCGTTTTCCTCTTCGTGACCGGAGTATAGCAGCATCTCTCCCGTAGCTAGCCTTTTCTGTCCAGCTTGGGTCCAATGGGTTTCGCTGATTCCCAGTACTGCTAAGTTGTATCTCCTCATTTCCATTGATATTTGACTGGTCTTCCCGGTTTCCCACATTGTTCGAACGTTCCATGTACCTATAAAAATTTTTGCTCTGGTTGTCAGAAGGGGCATCGGCCTCGTGGCTTCCGAAGGAACTCGGCTTTCACCATGAAGCGTCATAATTCTTCTAAATGAAGACCTTCTAACTCTCAGGGCAGAGTTAAAATGGTTTGAATTATTTTTTCTGGTAAGCGTTTTTTTAGCGAGTTAGTTTTCTACGGGATGGGGACGCTAACCCCATGCCCAACCCTCCTCCTTTACCCGGGCTTGGGACCGGCAGCAACCCTATAAGAGCAACAGGCGGAGTTGATCGTTTTCTGAGGGTAAAACATTATTTTTTAGGTATTATTGTAGTGAACAAAAACTCAGGTAGGGAAACCAATTTACTGTTTAATGTAAAGCTACAGAGTGCCTTCATAAAATATGAAAACATACATTGAATACTTTATTTGCACATCTTCCTCCAGTTGTTCTTTACATGCCTGGTAATTCTTTCAATTCTGTTATGATTAAAATTGCTCTCTGTTTCCCTTCCTGTTCTGTTCATCATTACTAAGGTTTGATTTGTTAATTTCAAAGAAACTAAGGATTGGGTAGATTGTTATTGATGAAAATACAATATTTATAATATTCCAAGGAGTAGAAAAATTAAGTTTTCTTATATTTTATGACTCATTTTATGCCAATTCTTCAGAGAATAGATAAACAAAGTGAATTAACCCAAGTTAAAATCGTAAACAGTAACAAAGAAGAAAATACTGAGTTCGATCAACCAAAAAAACAGGCTTGACTATGTTAATATCACGTCATTTCGGCCAAGGTGATTTCTATGAGAAATCTTGTGTATTGAATATACATGTGTGTTAATGAGTGAAAAGTGTTTTATTTACAACGTGAAAGGATTTTCTATATATGATAATAGTGTGAACTGTGAAAAGAATCAGACATAGTAGATCGAATTGATGGTTCAAGTTGGATGGATAGTAAAACCTTATATTCTACTGAGAGTGGTATGATTTAGCACTATATAGAAAGCTTCAGATACTCCCCTTTCTTTGAAGTTGGAAAAGCCTTTTTGTGTAATATTGGCATTTTTAATATCTACTTTATGGCATGAATTGCTGTTACCGACCTAATTTGAAGTTTTTCAAGTTCTATAGGATTATTAGGTTTTGTGTATCTAAGATGTTTTTCTCCAATATAAAAGGCAACACAATCAAGATATCCCAAATCTTCCTGAATAGAACGTGAAGCATGTTTGCAGTTACTTCTGTGTCCGACTACGAAGCTTCAGCTGGCATATTGTCAGGTCCAGCTGCTTTGCCGCCCTTGATTTGTCTAGTGGCCATCTTGATTTCTTCGACTTTTGTAGGAGTGATATCTATAGAAAGGTCTATAGGCGCTGCCTCGATGTCCGATGAATTCAATGGAGCCAGTCTATTCAACAGTTCCTTGAAGTATTCTACCCATTTGTTCCTCTGTTCTTGAATTCCAGTGATTGGCTCTCTTTCTTTGTCTTTGACCGGTCTCTCTAGTTTACTGTATTTCCCTGCTAGTTTCTTCGTTGTGTCATATAGCTGTCTTATATTTCCTTCTCTTGAAGCTTTTTTGGTTGTCGTTTCCAGCTCTTCCACGTGTTTCTGCTTATCGGCTCTACTGCTCTTCTTCACTTGCTCGTTTGCTTCTGTGTACTCACCTTGTGCCTCGGCTTTCTCTTCTTACTTTCCACTGTCGTTAATTGCTATCTACGTGTTCTTGCTTTCTTGAATCTTGTCCAGGGTTTCCATAGAGATCCACTCCTTATGACAATGTTTGTTGAGACCTAGCACTCATTGAAACGTTGGAGTTAGTGCTCTTTTAATTCCTTTCCAGTTGTCCTCCACCGTAGTTTCTTCTTTTTCAGGAGATCCTGTAAGGCTTGGAACCTGTTGTTGAGAGTTATCTTGAGTTCGTTGAGTTTGTTAGAATTTCGTAGGAAGACTGTATTGAACATTTGTACCGCTGTTTCCCCAGCTATCTAGTGTTTCGTTAGCTTTAGTTTGATCTTGGCAACCACCAAGTTGTGATCTGAATCTATGTCAGCTCATTTTCTGGTTCTTGCGTCTTCCATTATCCTGAATATTTTAGAGATGCAAATATGATCGATCTTGTTGTCGGTAGTGTGGTGCGGTGAGACCCATGTATCTTTATGTATGCGTTTGTGGGGAATGCAGAAACATTAAGAATTTTGTTGACTTACTTACTCCTATCACAGCGTATGGAGGATTCCAGGTAAGCGCTTGGCTCGTGATGCAGTTTGGTGATTTTCGCAATGTATGTCCTATCCACTCTCACCATTCTCGGTCTTTTCTCCTAGTCCATCTCATCCTATAATATTTTCGTACCCGGTGTTGTCCATTATGACTTTTGCATTTCGATCTCCCATCAGGATGGTCAGCTCATTTCCTAGGCACTTCCCTACGATCGATTGCGGCCTCCTATAAAACTGATCCTTATAGTCTTCATTGCTTACATTGGTATGTGCATAACACTGGATAACGTCCATTGTAATTCCCTCCTCTATTTTGAAGGATACTTTGATGATCCTGGATCCATGAGATTCACATCTTATAAGTGCTTTACATTGTTTCTTTGAACAGCATCAGTGCATTTTCTTCTTCATGATCAGAGTACTATAGAGCTTTTCTCAAATCTAATCGTTTTTGTCCAGATAAGATCAAATAGTTTCTATTTATTCCGCAGCTATATAATTACTCCTCCACACTGTTCGGACATTCCAAGTATCTACATTAACTGTTGCTTTGGTTTTTAGAAGGAATATCGGTTTTGTGGCTTTCGAAGAATCTCGGCTTTCATTGAGAGGGGTCGTAATTCTTCTAAATAAAGATCAATAAACTCCCAAGACAGAGTTTAAATGGTTAAAATGACTTTTTCTGGTTAGTATTTTTTTAGCAAGGTTGTTTACCACGGGGTGGATTTGCTGACCCCATGCTTGACCCTCCCTTTTTATCGTGGCTTGGAACCGGTAGTAAACCTAGATGGTCTACCAACTGAGATTAGTTGTTTTATATTATTTTTTAATTCTGTTTTTTTTAATACTCCTTGGAGTAATTCTGTTGAACCATGACGATATGGTAAAATTACAATGCCAATCCACGCCATTTCATTCAATATTATTTTTGTACTTATTCATGAATCTAAGTTCTGAGTATTTGTTCTATCAGTATTTCATTAGCATATTTTCTCTTTTTGTTAGGTGCTTTTGTCAGTCCACTTATTCAAATGTTTGGATTTCGTATTAGTGGTTGTTTTGGAGCTTTATTACTTGGTCTTGGAATGTCAATAGCAAGTTATCTAACTAATATGCATGCTATAACAATATTTTATGGAATGATATCAGGTTAGAATAATATTACGTCTTTTTTTCTATCTTTATTGTTTAAATTCATAAGGAAATTCAGTTGCCCCCGGTTTTTTATTGTTTCTATTAGTCATACTCATTGTTTTCTAAGAGTATGTGTTGATTTATTAAATAAAATATCTACAGAATATTACTTAACATACATACTTTATGTAAGGACGGCTCATGGGTGCTCAAGTTTTACGCTGTATATTAAGAATCGAAGCTCTAGATATAACACTTTATTTAACCAATTCTGCTTATTATTATTATTATTTCTGTTTAAAGTTTTCTTAGAATCAATCAAATTCTGAAATCATTTTTTTATCTTAATATATTCACAGAAATACCATTTCCCATGAAATTATATATTTGCTTTACAGTAATGATTTTGTTGAAATTTAAGTGATAACTTCTCGATAAGTTTCCATTATGAATTAATATTATCTAGTGAATTACTGAAAATTAGGAAGCTATATACGGTTATCCAATTCAATGTTTGGAATCTCTCAAAAGTTCCATAGGATCGAACTCATAGTGTTTAGATACAGTAACATCTATAATATTATCAGATAACAAAGTTTGTATATAATTTCAATTAATTTGTGTTGTATTGTGACCATTTAATGTCATCTCAGTAAGAAGAAATGAACAATATCGAGATAATTGCTTGTCTTGTATTTATTTATTTCTCAAAAAAATATATTGATAAAAGCACTTCATTAGGGATAAGCTGTAACTCATCTTCCTTAAAGCCAGTTTTTCTTCGCATGACAATTTTTAATTGCAAAAATATATTTGATACATGAATTTCAACGTAACAACTTGAACGAATGACAAAAAGGAATATATAATAACTACAGTAGTGTTTCTGTTTGTATTTTGTAGTACCTCATTTCGTGGTGGATTGTAAGCTTTCCAAAAAGAGTTATGAGTACACGTACATATCAAAAGATAATTAATCCATTCATACAAATCTAAAACAATAAAATTCACTTGAATATTTTAATTTTTTTGAGAAAATGATGACACAAAAGTTTTAACAAGCCCCTAAATGATAATCAATTTTGATGAAATTTTAAATTTTTTTTAAAATAGACTTTCCATGTAATACTCAATTTGTATACTTTTCGAATAGTCTTACATCTTGACAGAACAGATAAATTGTGTCGACCGATGGAATCCAGAATGCACGTTTCACCCCGTTTGATAATCATCGGTTAGATGTATCCGTGTACCAGTATTGATATTTATACAGTGACTAGAAGTCAGTACTTTTCCCTCCAAACACCCAGTCCATTATCCGCTGAGTTACTGAGTTTAGATAGTCACTAGCTTGTGCAATGTGTGTGATGTTTATTCTATGTCATTACTAGTTCTACTTTGTTACTAGAGAAACTATTGGTTTATCTTAAGTGCTTAGTAAATTCATAATAATTAGTCTTTTATCATGATCATACTCATTTTTTTAGGTTCAGCTTTTGGCATTTTAATGGTATGCGCTATAGTCTCAGTCAATTATTATTTTGATCGTTATCGTGGCTTAGCATCAGGCTTAGCAATGTCTGGTGCAGGTGTCGGTACATTATTAATACCAGTTTTCTACAACTGGATTATACCGATTAAAGGCTGGCGTTCTAGTTTATTATTGTATTCATTGGGTGCAAGCTTATTAACAGCACTGGCTTCATTGACACTTAAGCCATTTATAACAAGTGATGATCCCGTATTAACTGAACAATCCACTGATGTGGAAAATCCGGAACACCTTACATCTGATCAAATGTTGCTTATGAAAACGATTCCGAAAATTACTTACGTAAATGATGATGTAACTAATTTGCCTGAAAAAAATCATAATAGAACTGTTGATGTAAGTTTAGATAAATTATTTTTAACTATCTACTTCGTACACAACCCTTTTCTTACGTTGTTTTATATAAAATTTGAAGAATGATAAATTTGAAGTTCAGATTTCCCTCGGGTTTTAATTTTTCTGGTTGACATTCTTTTCAGCAAGGTTTTCTTCTACAGGATGGGGCAGTTACCCCCAAGCTCGACTTTCCTTATTTATCCCGGCTCGGGACCGAAAGGACTCTTTTACAAATAACACTATTGTGTAGTACATCAATTAACACATAAAGTAACCTCGGTATATGAGCAGATTATCGAAAATATGACTGTCTCCAATGCTAATTGTGTTGTGTTCATGTCGTATGGCGACTTTGGTCGATGCATAATACTCCTATCCGTCACATTATTTATGACAGACTGATTGACTGTAACACGAACTTTGCAAGATGAATACCGAAATTATGGGGATAGCAGTAGTATCTGTTATAGTAAAAAAAATTAAAAATAGCAAATATGAGTCGAGGAGAAATAAGATTCCGAGAAAAAAATAAAATAAGACAATATCAAAACTTGGGTTTTAGGAGTAAATAAAAAATAGATGCATATGCTCCACTGTAACTGATTTTGAACGATGTCCTAAACAGTTTCCTACTACTGTCATAATTATTGGGTCGACCCCATTCAAATAGTCCTCACCTACCAACACAGCTTTGATCATTAGTTAATGACTTAATGAGCTGATGCTTTTTCTCAGCTTATATATTCCTAGCTTTCTTCCAACCAATGTCTACGCCATCCATGATTGCATATTGATCTAGGCACTGGCTGGGTATATACAATACACATTTCAGTTACCGCAGTCGATAAACACTCATAGTCTCATGATGTACCATTCAAAATTTATTTTGGCTGGTGAGAGCATTTATTTTGTTTCTAATGAGTTTTACGAAGACAAATTCATCTACATAATTGACCAGGTATAACAAATGATTGATACAAAGGCCATGGACATGAACATCCATAAACCTGTCTAGTGCAGATTGGATTATTTAACTCATCAACCAACTCCCAGAACACAAATTGATTCATTTCATTTCTAATATTTTCCAGTTATGAGCTAAAAATAATCCAACTATAACTTATAAACACGATTTTTTGAGAAAAAAATTTTTTCATCATAATCAGAATGTATAATATTTACCTAAAGATTAGAATGAACTTAACATATTCGGTAATGTTTTATATTTCAATGTAGTTTTTCAATGTTTAAAATACTTTAGACAAGTTCATCTTGGACAAAAAACAAACATCAAATATTATTATTGTTAAGTAATATTACCGCCTTTGAAAACGAGTAATATTCAGATGAATGATTCGAATATAGTTTTAAAACCATTCAATAATTCTGAGAGATTATAAAATATTAATTTTAAATCTTATATTAATAAAAGTCATTTAGAATTGTTCAATGTTCTTAAGGTGAATCTAATAAAAATAATAAATACTTAATTTAATAGTAAGTAAATATATTATTATTTTAGAATATTTATTAGTTATAGGATCTTAATAGTTGAAATCATGAGTCAATTGAAGCTAGACCATCATGGAGAACATGGAAGCACTGGACGGCCGTTTCGTCCCAGTATGGGACTCCTCAATAGTGCGCATCAATTGACTCATGATTTCAACTATTGAAATTACTAAAATCTCCAAAACACCCCTTCTAGTTATAGAATCATTAGATATTTTGTAGTTATAGGAGAGTGTTAAACTTTTGAAATAAGGAATTAGACATATCTCTTTTGTGCATAGAGCTTAAATTTGAGTTGATGTATTGCTATGATTTCAACTGTGGACAAATTTCTGATCCAAACCTTCTGTGAGTTTGTTTATTTTTGACTTATTAAGTAATCGTGAGCTATGATTATTGTGACGGAAAGTAATTAGCGTTAACTACATGTTTAGTGATTAGGCTATTAATTAACTTATAATTCTATGTAGACAGTCATGTAGGGTAGTGATAAAATAGACATTTCAAACGTTCATGCTTTGTGTGATCAATATTATGTCCTCTACAAGGGCATATAAATTGCTAAATCTACAAGGAAATAGCTCAAAGCGGTAATTTACCACTGGTATTTCAAGGAATGGGAATCTACTGTGAAAAGCAATTTGGAACACTGCTCAACAGATATTTCTCAGAAATCTTGACAATCTGTTTTTCAAGATTCATGCTCCCATCTATCCTTTAAATCCAGTGTTCATGAGTAAAACTTTCCTTGGAACCTTGAGGATACTTTCAGATTGACATTTGGGTTTCAGGTTACTATCAATGATTCTGATGGAGAAAGTTATGCTGTGTTAATCTCTTTTATGATTTATTAGTTCATACTACCTTTGATCGTATTATGCGACTTACATTCAGTACATGAAGACCTTCGATACTCATTAATAACTTTATTAAACGCCATAACAGCTGTATTTCTTTTGTCAGATTATTACAAGTACAATTAACTATAAATACAATTTTACAGTTTTAGTAAGTGACATCTTCATGAAAACATTTTTCATGGAATTTTCTTACGATAAAGAACGACAATTATCCAGTATACCATCAATGTATACTCATCCGTATTTTCTAAACATCTGTTACCTAGGGCTGTAGATCCGGACTAAAACTTTTATATACCTAATTCAGATCAACATCACTAATAAGTACTAACTACTTTTTAAGACAAATTATGAAAATAAACTAATGTAATCAACTTGTTTCAATTTCAATCAACAGATAACTGCCATTCATTCAGATTGTAAACCTGGTGATTCTGTATGTGATTTTAATGAAGAAAAAAAAGAAAGAAAACTTTCTATTGGATTTACAGATGCTTTACGCCAGTATTTATTAAATCAAAAAGGTAATTTACTGCAAATTCTCGGATATTTTGGTTAAAAATTCAACATTAATGTTTTTACTTTTTTTCTTTGATGGTATACATTTGTTTAAGTTAAGGGGAGTTATTATCATTGAGTGACTAACGTCATTTGGCAGATGAAAGAAAGCCACAGAGTATTGTAACGTGTATAGAAGGTCAGTGGATATTTTTGAATTTTGTTGTTTACATCATAAACTTTTGTTAGACGATTATTGAAAGTCAGGAAGCATTGGATAGCTGTTTTGTACTATCATTTAATACCGGCTATGTTTCAGTGATTGATTAACTAAAATCAGATTGAGATATAAACGATAATATCGGACTTGTATTTGATTCTGGTTTGGAAATTTTCAGTAATATGTACACATGGTCTAACAAAAGATTTAATTCATGACTATATTGGTTTCTAGAAGTACACAATAGCATGTAATCAATGTGTTGTAATACAATAGTCCACACCAATCAACCACAAGAGTCCTCAGTATTGTAGTTGAATCATTATTTCCAACAGACAAATAATGTGTTGCTTTGTGTCCGATCCTGGTTCAGGCTTCCTATACACTAGCCCAACTGGTTACTTGGATGAAAAAAACTGAAAGAGAAAGAGAGAAAGAAAGATAAGGAAACTTTATTGGCCGCACAACAGAGAGACACCTATACATTCATATATATACCCAGAAAAGGAACTTAAATCTTGGGCAATGGCATAGTTTCATCGTTTGGCCTATCTTGGATTAGCTCATTGTACTAGCAACCACTTCATGCTTAGCTCCATTAATTGCACATATCAAATTTAGTCTTAATTGTTGAGAACAGACCATACTTCAAATTTTAGCCATCAATTCTTAGGTGCAAATGTTAGATATAACACAGCTCAATTAAATTTATTAGTCAGTATTTAGAAAATTGTGGAGATCATTTGGTAAAACAGTTTATTATATACCGATGTTTAAATGATAACCAAATATGAATAGCTGAAATCGTTTTGGATGTAAATCTACTCTCTCAGTGGTGATTTATTTTGACTAAACTCCTTTAGGTACTGTTGTGGTAGTTCGACTTAAACATGAACCTTGAGATAGCAAAAGAATAAACAGAATAAAACCAACCGATCAATGGAACGAAATCGAACTCTAAATGATCTATCACTGAGTAGTGACCAATATCATGTTTCTCTTGTCCTTTCGCATTAACCGAATTCTGTCGATCAACTGAAGCGGGATCAAATCACTCAGAGGGCACCAATTTTTTCAATACTACAGGGATACCTCGGTGACGGGTTTTAAATAACACGAAACCTAGATTCAAGGCTCCATTTTGGCCACCTCCAATCACCTAACATCCCTATTCCAGTCACAGTACATACCCTAGCCACTAGACTTATTTGTAAATATGGTAAGATTTAAACATTAGAGCATAACTGCTAGCATGGTTAGCCTTCGTGTTCAGTTTGATCAAATCGATGAAGCAATAACCATAATTGTTATAAAATAGATTAGTATTTGTCTCATACTAGAATGAAAACGTATTCTCTTTTGTTGTATTTTTCATTTCTCACTTTATAGTATGCTTTAAATATATAAATTAGACTAGATGTAACACATGAAGCCGAATGCTCTTGATATGCATATATTACAGAATCGGTACACAAATGAATCTCATTTCAGAACAATTTCAGGGCAAGTCCATATCATCCGATAAACTAATAACCGTGAATAATGTATTTCAACTTAAAAATATGATTTACTGTATCCAAAAATTCCACCATTTTGTATAGCGATGACATAATTTGTTAAATATTTCTTGTAAACAAACTGATATACCACACAGAATAATGTTAAGTAAATCGGTGTCAGAACCTGTGCTTCCCGTGGTATTTGAACCTGTACTACCTAAATTCACACTATAGGAAGATATTATTTAGCCGTTTGAGCCGTAACTAATCTCCTACAGAACAGACAGATTTACAGAGTAAAATTGATAACTTTGAGATATACTTCGTACTCTGCCATATATCTCATACGAAATATGGTATCCCATGCTATCGAGCTAAATAATCTAGAATAATTGAACATCGTGGTTAACGATGAGAACTTTAAAATGTAAATGGTTTAAACTCGATAACTATTTCAACTACTTGTGTATTTTTTTTTAGTTTTCCGTCGAACGTGAAGTGGTGGTCATTTCTTTCAGGTAGTATTGGTCTTGTACATTATAATTCAATTTACTCTGATCGCCGTTTATTTTAAATGGGCTTTTTATTGTTAACCGTACTAATATTCGAAAAGGTAACAATGATCATTATTACCGATAAAAACCACTATCTATTTCAACTTGCCACTAATGAAATATTCTAATCATAGTTTTGAAACAAAAGTATAGATCATTGTTTATCAGAATGATTTAATGTCTACCGTGGTGCATCAGATGATCTAACTTAGAGAATATTTTAATAAAACTAAGTGATATTAATTGAAAATAATCGTTTAACATCTACTAGGACCAACAATTTTGTCGGAAACTAACAACGATGCGGAAGATGCAGAGTCTATGGTTGGTTCAAGATTATGGAAATCAAGTCAAGGATTCAAGAGACAACAGTCATCATATATTCGTCATCATAGTCATTTATGTCAACCTGCTCAGTCTAACCAACAACAGAAACAAAGTCACGACAAACTCCCAAGACAAACAACACAGACAACAGTTGCAGCTACAAACGATTATATCCATTCAAGTTATAATTTATCATCGACGAGAAAGTCTAGACGAAAGTTTGCCAGTCAAATATATACCCTTCTTGACAAACCAGATGCATTTTATTCAGCGAGTTTAACAAATTTAAATCCTAAAATTACTCAACCTTTTAATGAACACAAAAAATCTACAGCTTCCTCAATAAATGTAAGGGCATATTCAAAGTATCCAATAGCATCTAAATCATCTTTAATCATTTCTTCTGAAACAGTGAATAAAAATCAAATTATTAATGAGTTAATTGATAGTAATATTTCTTCATTTCAATCATTTCCTATTGCACCATTGAATCAACAGCATCAAGAACAAAACCACGAAGAATTTCATTCTTTGGATAATTCGATACATAAATCATCTCATAATGATATTTATCCTAAATCCAGTATTATTGAAACAAGTATTCCGGAAGAAAACCTACTGACTACTAATAATACAGAAAACAGCACAGAACCCTACTCACCAATATCTAAAGTGAACACAATTAAACAAAATCTAGTATTATTTGGATTTGGAATAATAAAATTATTTGATTTAAGCTTATTCACAGAAATCTCATTTTTATGCTTAGTAGGTATTGGTGTTACAAGTCAGCTGGCATATTTTATTCCATTTGTCTATTTAATTGATTATACAGTTAGTTATGGGATGGAACAAGATAGTGCTGTTTTAATAGTTATGATATTAAGTAAGTATCTCTGTTTCATTTTATAAGATCATTTAAGTTTTATTTACTTTTCTTCAAGTCATGGACGGAAAATCTATTTGAACTTAGGCGAAAACTCAGCTGTTTAGAGCTAATGTAGAATTTAATTTGTCCTACAGATATTCTACCGGGACTGCAAACGCGATACTGACAACCCGGAGTTTATATGAAAGCTATAGTCAGAACATATGACAACTTGGCTTTAAGAGTTATCTGCTTCTAAACGTAAAAATCAATTCGACTAGTACAATGATTGTAGTCATTATGTTAAATGTATAAACATACAGACCAGTATTGGGTGTCCTACTTAAATTAATGAAAAATATGAGTTGCAGTAACGCTAATGTGATAGGATAATAATGTCCTTAAATTGACAGGTTACTTGTAGCAGGGATAGTCTACAGACACATCAGATCAGGTTGACGTGGTGGGCGTTTGAGCAGCCATCTGATTGGTTAGTTACTGACATACTGACAGTAACATGTTGTTTTCATGGATTACACGGCTCGGTGACCTTAATTAAACCAGGATACATTGAATAACTGTTTCGTCCGATTATGGGGTTCCTCAGCAGTACACACCCATGACTGTATTGGGGACCGAAACCAAAGCCCTCGGTCTCGTGCACGAGCACTCAACATTTAAATTATTGAGCCAGCATCCATTGGTGTCCATGTCTAACTTCAATCAATTAGCGATACCGTATGTTCATCTTCCATTACCTGCGATGGATAACAGTCTGACACGCCTAGGATCGCGTCTCAGAGCGAATTAATAACAAGTACGTGTTTATGATTTTCAAGGATTTTAAATTTATTTATGAAGGAATATTAAATATATATCCTGATAGATAAATGAAAGGAAAATCTCAAACCCTATACGTTTCTTTTCAAGTTGTCACATTTTTCCAAGGGACCTTCAATAGAAATATACGCTGGCTTCACACCGAAACTTGTTCTTGTTTCTACAATTAATCACCCTGTTTTAATACTGTCGATAAGTATATGAATAAAATAAATCATGAACATATAATGTATGTTATTATTTCACTTCCTACAGAAAATTTTCTTCAGTTACAATCTGGAAAATTAAGTACGATATGTAACTGTAATAATCAAACTGATAAAAATATTAATACTATATCAGTTCCGATTTCTTCACTGAAAAAGACTATAACAAGACAATAATAGCATACAATGTAAAATCGTCATATGTTTACCATAATACACAACTGACCGTTAATCAGAAATATTATTATTAGAGATCACTTTATTTGGTGCATATTTTCATAAGGGGTATGTTTAATATGTAGAGTAGCAAAGCATAAAGCAGAATATTGACATATTATCAACTATTGTATTCACACGTTCTCGATTAGCTGCATCCCTTAAAGTTGAAAATGTTCTATGAAATTATATAAACTTAATTTGCTTATATTTATTTTTAACTTACTGATGATCATAAAATTTATTAACAAAAGTTGTGTTTACTAATTGTGATAAAATGTAACTTTTTACTGAGTTTACTCGAACATTTTCAAATGACAATGGGAGATTCTGGTTAAGTTACTTACTATTACGATTGATGTAGTTCTCCTCATAGGAGTAGCTCAGTTGGTAAATACATATTGAACTAGTTAAGCCATGTTACATATTCTTTTTTGAGCAACCAGTTTCTCAACTTGTTCTTATCTATCTTCCTTCATTGTTTGAAAAGGGTCGAAGCCAAAATCTGATTACTTCTTATCACATTAAGTAGATAATGATCATATAGTAAACAAAACAAAATTATTTACAGTTACTGATCGTACCAACTTTCTAATGTCTTTATCGTTTAATTTTCAGTTTTTTCACAACATAATAAAAATCATGTAACATAGTATTTTGTTAGGCAGAATTTTTATATGCAAATATAAATTAAATGATCAATAGATAATTTCTTCGGATAAAAGTTTGTTTAGTCTTAATCGTTATGCTTTGTTAATGTTTTATTTACATATATACAGGTATATTCCACACACTTGGTCGAATAGCATCTGGTATTATGTCAAATGTTTTTCATTTAGATTCGGTATATTTAAGTGGACTAGCAACTTTTGGTGGTGGGCTAGCACATATATTTCTCGTTTTTATAATCCCACATACATTTACGTGGTATTCTATATATGCCAGTATTTATGGCCTATGTAGTGGTAAGTGTATATTGAAATATTGTACATTAGAAAATAAACTGCAGATCCTATAATGGTTAACTTTTTTCCTAGTTCAACTTGCAGTTTATTTATTTAAACTGAATTAAAATATTGATCGTTATTAGAGTGTTTTTTAGAATAGATGGATTGTCACTAGTATTGCGATCCAAGGCCATCATTTTGTCCTGTTTATTACTGGTCAACTAGATATGCCTTAATCTTAGTATTTATATCCAAACTAGGAATCGAACTCACCAACTTTTGGAGAAATATGAACCCTTAGAAGTGAATTTATATCCGTTAAACAAGTTAGTGACTGTTTGGAGTTAGTAGCTCAATTGATAACGTGTTGACGTTTGAAATAATAAGTGATATGTTTAAGTTTAAGTGTAAACATCAACACTCGGCCACAGGTATATCAAGATGACAAGTCTTAAACAAAACAAAATCAACATCCTGGATTCTGCCGATAACCAAAATCCATTTACTCTCAGAAGCTTGTAACCATATTGAGGCAATCTACAGAAGATGCATACATGCCAACAAAGAGTAATCAAAATTCTGTTCCTAATATAAGCAACTAAATAATTTAAACCCTCACAAGTAATAATAAAAGTTCATTACAGAAATCAGCTGTTCACCAAATTATTTAACGCTTCATCACAAAAGTCACTAAAATAGCATGAAAATATTTTATTTAATTAATTTATCAACGTTTCTTAGATACGCTGGCAGCAAATGAAAATAGGTAAGTAATATTCAGAAACTAACTCCGCCTGTAGCTCTTCTAGAGTTACTGCCGGTCCCAAGCCCGGGTAAAGGAGGAGGGTTGGGCATGGGGTTAGCGTCCCCATCCCGTAGAAAACTAACTCGCTAAAAAAACGCTTACCAGAAAAAATAATTCAAACCATTTTAACTCTGCCCAGAGAGTTAGAAGGTCTTCATTTAGAAGAATTATTACACCTCATGGTGAAAGCCGAGTTCCTTCGGAAGCCACGAGGCCGATGCCCCTTCTAACAACCAGAGCAAAAATTTTTATAGGTACATGGAACGTTCGAACAATGTGGGAAACCGGGAAGACCAGTCAAATATCAATGGAAATGAGGAGATACAACTTAGCAGTACTGGGAATCAGCGAAACCCATTGGACCCAAGCTGGACAGAAAAGGCTAGCTACGGGAGAGATGCTGCTATACTCCGGTCACGAAGAGGAAAACGCTCCACACACTCGGGGAGTCGCTTTAATGCTGTCCAAAGTAGCACGAAATGCACTTGTAGGATGGGAATCTCATGGATCCAGAATCATCAAAGCATCATTCAAAACAAAGGAGGAGGGGATCACAATGAATATTATCCAATGTTATGCACCCACCAATGATAGCAACGACGACATTAAAGATCAATTCTACGAGCGGCTGCAGTCAAGCATAGAGAAATGCCCAAGAAAGGACCTCACCATTCTAATGGGAGATCTAAATGCCAAAGTCGGAATAGACAACACCGGATATGAAGATATTATGGGACGACATGGACTGGGACAGAAAAATGAAAATGGAGAAAGATTTGCCAATCTATGTGCATTCAACAAATTGGTCATAGGAGGCACAATATTTCCACACAAACGTATACACAAGGCTACATGGATCCCACCGGACCACACTACACAGAACCAGATAGATCATATTTGCATCAACAAAAAAATTCGAAGGACAATGGAAGATGTGAGAACCAGGAGAGGTTCTGACATAGCTTTAGATCACCACCTAGTTGTGGCCAATTTAAAACTGAAGCTAAAAAAGAACTGGACAAGTGGACAAACAGCACTACAAAGCTTCAATACAGCCTTCCTTCGAGACACTGACAAACTCAATGAATTCAAGATAGCTCTCAACAACAGGTTCCAAGCCTTACAGGATCTACTGAAAAAGAAGAAACAACGGTGGAGGACAACTGGAAAAGTATCAAAGAAGCATTAACTTCAACGTGTCAAGAGGTTCTGGGTCTAAAGAAGCACCGTCATAAGGAATGGATCTCTATAGAAACACTGGACAAGATCAAAGAAAGGAAGAACAAGAAGACAGCAATTAACAACAGCCGAACACGAACAGAGAAAGTCCAAGCACAAGCTGAATACATAGAAGCAAACAAGCAAGTGAAGAAAATCATTAGAGAAAGAAATACGTGGAAGAACTAGCAACGACGGCGAAAAAAGCTGCTAGAGAAGGAAATATGAAACAACTTCACGATACAACGAAGAAACTAGCAGGGAATTACAGTAAACCAGAGAGACCGGTCAAAGACAAAGAAGGCAAGCCAATCACTGAAATTCAACAACAACGGAACAGATGGGTAGAATACTTCGAGGAACTCCTGAATAGGCCGGTTCCAATGAATCCACCGGACTTCGAAGCAGCACACATAGATCTTCCTATAGATGTCAATCCACCAACGAAGGAAGAAGTCAGAATGACCGTCAGACAAATCAAGAACGGGAAAGCAGTGGGACCCGACAACATACCAGCTGAAGCACTGAAGTCAGACATCGAAACAACCACAAACATGCTTTATCTTCTATTCAAAAAGATTTGGGAGGAGGAACAAGTGCCGATGGATTGCAAAGAAGGACACCTCGTCAAGATTCCAAAGAAAGGAGATCTGAGCAAATGTGAAAACTATAGAAGCATTACACTACTGTCAGTATCAGGGAAAGTCTTCAACAGAGTGTTGCTGAACCAGATGAAGGATGCAGTAGACGCCCAACTTCGAGATCAACAAGCTGGATTCCGCAAGGATCGGTCGTGCACAGGCCAAATTGCGACACTACGGATCACCGTCGAACAATCAATTGAGCGGAACTCGTCACTGTACATCAACTTCATTGATTATGAAAAGGCATTTGACAGTGTAGATAAGAGAACGTTATGGAAACTTCTTCGGCACTATAGAGTTCCTGAGAAAACTGTCAACATTACCCGAACTCATGCGACGGACTACAGTGCAAGGCCGTGCATGTAGGACAACTGACAGACGCATTCCAAGAGAGGATCGGAGTCAGACAAGGCTGCTTAATCTCGCCCTTCCTCTTTCCTCTGGTGGTCGACTGGATTATGAGGACCTTCACTTTTCACTGGAAGTACGGAATATAGTGGACAGGTTGAATGCAAGTATAGGACTTGGACTTCGCAGATGAACTGGCCCTTTTATCCTATACACACGAACAAATGCAGATGACGACAACTAGTGTAGCAGCAGCCTTTGGATCAGTAGGCCTCAACATACACAAGAGAAAAGTGAAATCCTCAAATACAACACGGAGAACGCCAACACAATCACACTTGATGGCGAAACTCTGGAAGATGTGAAATCTTTCACGTACTTGGGACGTATCATCGATGAACAAGGAGGATCCGATGCAGACGTAAAGGCGAGGATCGGCAAAGCAAGGGTCGCATTCCTACAATTGAAGAACATATGGAACTCAAAACAACTGCCAACCAATATCAAAGTGAGAATCTTCAATACGAACGTCAAGGCAGTTCTACTGTATGGAGCTGAAACTTGGAGAACTACAACAACCACAATCAAGAAAGTACAAGGATTTATAAATAGCTGTCTTCGCAAGATACTCAACATCCATTGGCCGGATACCATCAGCAACATCCTTCTCTGGGAGAGAACAAATCAGCTGAAGAGGAAATTAGGAAAAGACGATGGTAATGGATAGGACATACATTGCGCAAATCACCAAACTGCATCACGAGGCAAGCCCTAACTTGGAATCCTGAAGGGAAGCGGAAAAGAGGAAAGCCTAAGAACACATTGCGTCGGATAATAGAAGCAGATATGAAAAGGATGAATAACAACTGGACGGAGCTGGAAAGGATTGCCCAGGACAGGGTTGGATGGAGAATGCTGGTGAGCGGCCTATGCTCCTTCACGAGGAGTTACAGGCGTAAGTAAGTAAGAAACTCTTATACTTATTACTACAGTAAGAGGATACTATTGAGTGAAGTGATAAATATTTCTACATTACCAATTACTGTCCTAATTATCTTGAAAACCTAAGCGTCAGAAAAATGTACACGCGTCATGCCTAATGAATATCTTATCAACTTGTCTATGCGACAAAAATATTTCGGTTCGATCTTAGATAATTACAATACACTTACATGGCATTAATGTGTAATACTCCAAAATGACAGTGATAGCTTCATTACAAAATCAGTTACCTAAAAGAGCACATCACTTACCGAAGAAACCACTCGAGTCATAAGTATTCATTATCATTTATTAAACATTAGAACAGCTATTAATAGATTTGATTGTAACAAACAAAAAGCATTTTAATGTAAATGTTACTGTCTTTTAGGTTTATTGAGCACTATGTTCAACTGCAATTCCAAAACAAGAATAAATTTCGATAGAATTCCATAGTTAATCTCCAACTTATATGACAAATGAATAGTGTTGAAGAACCAGTCATGTATTTAAACATGTTGTGTTTTAGTGTGATAATACATCATAGGAAATTTCAAAATGACTGATTATTAAAATACTATATTAAACTGCTAAGTTAAAAATTAATCGTAGTAACTCAAGGATATCAGTTGAAAACAAAACATACTAATCAATACTGGAATGGTTTTTCCACCCGAAAGGGATAGCAATTCTACCCTATATGATTTATCTTAGTTTAGTGTGACCTAACGATATATGAACAACAATATTTTAACTGATCCTAATACATACACGTAGGTATAATAAAAGGATTTGTTCTGTGGAAGAGGGCTAGTCATCATCTAAAAAACAGTTGCATCATAGTGTTATTTGTAGATATATTCCTTAAGTAACGTTCTTTAGCATGCAACAAAATGACAACTATTCACTCATATGTATCTGTACTTAGAAATGTATTACACAATCAGACTTACCGTAGTTCCTTCTTGGTGAAAGATTGATAGTTTATGTTGGTCTTCCACTCTCACATTTAGGTCTGGTAGATACCTGTAATTCAAGCAAGTCGGTTGTAGTGTTTAGTACAATGTCAGGCTCACATGGTTTATCCTAGCTTCCAGACAGACCCGTTTATTCATTCCTCGTGAGTCACATTTTGACCTTGTCAATTATCCTCTTTTTAGCCTTAACTGCTTTTATATAACCGTGTATGTATTGCTTACCCTACTTATAACATGGCTATAGTTTATTTTTGTTGAGTTGGCTCACTTCCTTCTCTTTGCTTCCCTGCTTTTCATTCTGAATGTTTGTCTGGATCAACGAGTGAACGAAAAATACGTATTCAATATTCATTCTCTTATTCAACTTATTGTATTCCGTTACTCATTAACGCCAATCAAGTCGATAATCATGTGATGAGGGTAGTCGTGATTTATATTACGATAACGTCATTATGCAGTTCAATTGGGGTCAGATTAAAGGGATACAAAATAGCGTTAACATATGGCAACTGTACTTAACAAGACATTTGAACAATTTACTAGTTACAGTACCTACAAGCTTAAACGTGATTTTAGATTCGGTTACCTTTCACTTTTAGTCACTAATCATAATGAAATCACGATGATCAATCATTGTAGTTATCTTAGTCGTACAGGAGGCTAGTAGAAGTCCAATTGCCTCGTTAATAATGTCTCAGACCGTGATACTAGATGATGAAGGTCCTAATTCCACAAGGAACATAAATCCGCTTAAGATTAAAAATGCGTATTACTGACAAGTATTAACCAGTGCGAACTTAGGTTCAGGTTTTCATATTTATCTCCTTCAACCACCAAACACTAAATAGTAAATAAATTTTGACAATCTTGTTCAAGAGACCGATCAGTTGTTTTGTTCACCACTTTTAGCATCCTTAATTTATGCTGAACCATTTTCGATACGTTTGAGTTGAATGAAATAGGACATATTTTTTAGATTCTAAAAAGAACAGACGGATTTTTACGAATATACATTTTAATCTTTTTATTTAGGAATACCTATCCCACTTATTCCAATACTTTTAGTACGTTTCAGTGGACTTGAGCACCTGACAGCGAGTTTTAGTAACTTGAATTTACTAAAAGGTATTTTTTCAATGATTGGACCTACTGTGGCAAGTAAGTACACTGTATTTCAATCCAGTAACTCTCCTGTTTTATTCTCATTTTTAATTTACAACTGAAAGGGTTATCCCAATTTATTCTCTCAAAGTTTTAAGTAGTGGAAAGAGATTTAAATATGTATTTCTGATGAATTTTAATAAAGTTGGAGCTCCAATGTTTTTTATCACTTAATATGTACTCCACAAATCGTATTATTTAAACATTCACAACATTTGACCTTCATTTGGCTTCAATTGATTTTCTAAATATATTGGGTTTTATCTGTACTATATTTTTGAGAATAAATTGTAGGAAGAGATTATTTTTAACTGCTAGATTGAAACTCAATGGTTCACGTTCTCTGCCTGATGTTACTTCTCACTTCTTTTGGTCATAATTAAATGTAACTGGTAGTTATTCATTCGCACATTCAAGTGTGTGATTCTGCTTCCTATCACTTACCAGCCAAATTTAGAAATTAATCAGTGATGGAAATTCCGACACTGGTCCGAAAAACCTATCCATCACTTTCATCTTTCAAACGATTCCTCATATTATCTCAGTTCATAGTTTAAGTCGATTTCATATAACCGATCTTTCACAAATGATCGTTTTTAACCCAGTACTAATCAAAAAAGGATGAGTAACATTTTCTTTATAATCTTCACCTTGATTTCTTAAATATCCTTTTCATTATTGCATTTTACTACGCATACTTTCAGACTCTCAAATTAACTTGAACTAGCCGCTCAATGATTATTCTTATTTTGTGTGAGTTTCCCATGTATATCCTCACCGATCGACCACTTATTATTGAAAGTCTGTAACGTGATGTGATGTTGGTTGAGCTGTATCGATCAGATTGCAATTCGAACAGTAGTTTGGGTGATTCTATATTATTATCAGAATGGGTTTTGTGGAGATTTTAGAAATTTCACAGATTGAAATCATGAGTCAGTTGAAGCTAGACCACCATTGAAAACCTGGAAGCACTGGACGGCCGTTTCGTCCTAGTATGGGACTCCTCAGCAGTGCGCATCCACGATCCCGCACCACGCGGGGCTCGAACCCAGGACCTACTGGCTTCGCGCGCGAGCACTTAACCATTAGACCACTGAGCCGGCATTAAAATGCGCTTTTTTAGATGTTAGTTGTTTGAGAGCGATAAGCAGGAATACCTTAACACATAAATCATAGCTGCTATCCATTAGCAAAGTGAATCTGCTTCAGCATGACAAGAACCAACATTTAAGGACTACCCAAACTGTAAATACTTACGTATATGTAGTGATCTATACTTGGCTTATAATTTCATCAGGTCAGTTGTTGTTTCTGATCAAATTCCTCATCTTGTGCTAGCCTTTTCTTTTTCAAAAAGTACTACATTAGTCGTCCAACGTAAACCAAATTAGGTCAAAAGCATATATATAACGTAGCCAATCACAGTCACTGGAAAATAGTACTTATTATTTCACCCACACTTTATAAACATTATTGATTCACTGACATAGAACTTTCCTTTTTTTGTTTATCTTTTTTTCCCAAGTTACCATAGTCGAGTATACTAGTCAAAAAGACCATTTATTTCTTGTAGCGGGAGTATGTTACATTATTTCTGCTCTATTACATTTGGGATTATGTCGATATTCATGTTTTCCAAAATATTCTAAATCTAGCACAAACAAACAGAGAACTAATGACTACGATGATGCAAGTAATTTTGAAGACCCATATGCTAAATGTTTTCCATGCTCTTCCTAATAAATTGAAATTAACAAAAATATTACTAATCTCTTTTTAGTCAAAAAAATACTACTAAATTATACTTTATACAAACTTTTATGATGATTGAAAGAAGAAAAAAACACTATTTTGTACCAAACATTATTTCCTGTTAATCCTTTTATTACATTCTTATAAGTAGTCTTTTTAGTGCATAGATTGGTTTCTTTTTTATCATATATTGATCCCCTTAGACTAAATATTTCCGTAAAAATGTTTACAGTAATAATATGTATATTGAATAAACGATATTCTTTCTAAAAAAAAACTCCCTTTACATTCAACTGTAATGATGATTATTGTTATTAGGATGTGAAGAATGTGGGCTAGTTATAACAAATATTTATATTTGAATATTAAATCTGTTATAAGAATTTGCTAAACTTTGTCCTAAATTTCTCATGGTTATGTAGTATGACTCTGAAATGTCTTCTTTGAAAATGAACATGAACAGATTACAAGTGTTCAGTTACAGTTGTCATCGAATATTTACTCGATTGTGTTGGAACCATCGAGTGAGAAATGCTGAGGTTAATCCTAGGCTAATAGATGAAGACTGTAGATTGATTGATAAGGTAGTTAATCTTTATTGAATCAAGTGTTTAGGATGTGTTTTATGTATCCCTAACTACTGTTTACCTTGACAAACTGTATCTACTGGTTGGAATAAAGTGACCGAACCTAGACGTGGTACCAGTCAATAAGGTTATTGATGGTTTAAATGAGTTGGATTGGTTAGTGCAAACTACTTAGTGGAGGTGCGCACGAAAACTGTGATCAATGATTAGAGATATTGGATGAGATGGTTCAGATTCTTTCGCAATAGTACAAATGGGTTCACTCTTTTTCTTCCTTCAAATGATAAGATTTATAAGTCCATATTTTCTCTTCAAATCACATTGTCTATGCCTAATCTCTTATGGTGTTTAGTGCAAACATGTTGGATACACAACTGAATACCCATTTTATAATACAGGATCTGATAGGGCATGTGACTATCATATGAATTACTTTAACTTTTAACGAATCATGCTATTAATTCTAATCCCTTATTAGTGAATACATATAATTTGCCCCTATTTATTTAGATGTCTACTGACATATTATATTGATATACAAATGTTTGGAACATGTTGATTAGTAGACACTGTTCAGCTTGCCCTCATTTCAACACAATACATACTAGAATTATCTGATCCAATTCTGAATTTACTTCATTTTAATGCAATTGCTCATCATTGTAGAGCTAGCGGTGACACAATTCCGATATTGATCTAATACAACCATTATTTCACACCAGCTATGTCAATTCAATTTTGTTGCACCTTGATATATATATATATATATATATATATATATATATATATATATATATGGAAGTGGAGAGATAGCTAATTATTGTAAACAGATCCTCAACAGGTAAGAAATCAGTTTCTCTAATGATGTTCAAGTCTAGGCTTCCTCATGACATCATTCCGAATTATTAATAAAACGTGTATTGTCACGTACTTCCGATATGACTTATGTTCCCTTGTCATAAATTTCATTGTACGTAAGCCCAAGATATTGGTTAAGGCCATAATATTTTGAGTTACATGGCTGTTTAAACTTCAGTATTTGGCTGTTTGAATTCCTTACAGACAATACCGTTCATTATTTAGTAGGAACACCGTCTCTCATGGACAGGTTGTTAGTATCTTATTTTAGCTATCTGTTCGCCATATGATAGATTTGGCTACACAAACTCTCCTGAACATTCGGTTGCCTGTTAAGTACATAGACGATATTTTTGAAGTAATGTTTATTTCATACTTACATTAAAATTTATGTGGCATCAAGCAATTACGCTTTGTTGTTGGCACCATGATGAAACTTCGCAGATAATTGTCAGATTTGGACTATTGTCCTATATTACACGTTTCTGAACTTTCGTATACTCACTTGCTGCCGCATATACTGAGATTCATGACTAAGCTACACCGCTCAATGTGATTGTCCCCTCTTTTTCATACAATAGATCTATAGAACATCTCATGAGACCACAAAATAAAGAATAAGTCATTGGTAAATATAAACAAAAAAAAGCCAAAATGTAATATATCTTTGATGAAAGAATTGGAAGTGATTTGCTTCATCCAAGAGATCGATAACGTATACTGAATTTCAAAACTCTAGATTGGTTAGCGGGAGCGATTTTTAAAATTTCATCACAAGTCACAAGAGTTTGTAGATCACCAACGTAGATGATCTATGTCGAAATGATTGGACGCCTACTCGAGTTAGACGTGAATGGTGTGACAATCTAGCTAACGTCGAAGTCACACCTCATGGTCAGCACCTTACGTGGACTACCCCATTGACGTATCAAGGTACCATAGATGCTTTGAAGACTGTGCAACACAGAGGACGTTATTACAGAAATATATTAGTTAAAATAGATACAAGCGAAAGTGAGACCACTGCCGCATGGGCCAGTCCATGGCATACGATTAACTGATGCGCGTTGGTAGCCCCTGACCTTGACGAGGATCGATGATTTGCTCGATAGTCAATGACCCAACTGCCGGATGATTTGGCTAGGGCTTAGTGACATTTCGCTGGCCCTACAAGTTTAAATGTACATTTTCGGTGTGTTAATCAGGGTTTCGTTGGGGCATTTCGAGAGTCTATAATACGGAACTATTTACTTATTAGCTTCTACCAATAGTCGCTGATTGAATGACAGATATATTAGTTATTAACGAAACTAGGAAAATGCTTACAGGCAATCTGGATTTTAAACCATTCTAAACTTCAGCATATGAATTTTTACCGATAGTAATTCAGTCTTCTAAAGAGTAGGTAGGCTGCCCTGCTGTTGTAGGATGACAGTGAACATTGATGGCAAATGTGGGGGTTAGGCTGTTGCTAGAATACGTTCAGGGTGTCGTTTTACCTATGAATAAGATTTCAAACCGCTTGTATGTTTGATAATGATCTGACAGGAGTACCGTGATGAGAAGTTTAAGCATAAACGAGTAACATGGATTTCTGGTTTACTCACCTCCATTTGTGTGCATTGATAGACAATCTGTAATGAGAGGGAAACGCTTTTGACCAGGAACAAATAAATCAGTCTCGGAATATATCAACCCCCAAAACTTAGGATTCTTGAACTATGGTGCTTACATCAACTGACTAACTGCTACGAAAATTAAAAATTGATATTTTGCCTTAAAACAAAAATTCAAAATACATTTAGCTTTTTACTAATAGCTCAGAATGATACTAAGTATTGAAGTGGACATACATCACAGGAAATTTCGTTACGATTGAGCGTAAATTTGGGTCTGGTAATTCTGGCAATGCAAAACAGAAATATTAATGGCCTATTTACTTTCAACAGAAGATACAAGATGGAGGAGTAAATTAATCTTATAGTGACGCATAGGTTCAGTAAATTTCTTAACCACAATAAAGTGCCATATCTTCTCTTTTCCGTGACATTGTATTTATAACCATATTTGGTACCTGAGAATAAATGTCACAATGTGGTGTTTATATGAAATAATGATTCTTCTGTACCTGATAACTGCTTGGTTACGAATTCCAATTACAATAAGTTCGTTCGTGCCCATATACTTCTTGGTTAAACTGCGTTATTTCTGGGATTCCCAGTTTGTTCTGTAATTCAAAAACTCCTAATCATCACATTGGTGTCGCGATGGAGGTTTGAAATCTGGAGCATAACCAAGAAAGATGTGAAGGGTGATAAAATTATGACACATTCCTTCACATTCATAGAACAAGAAGCTTACAGCTTATTAAAAACGTTGGCATGCCCAGAAAAGCCTATCGCACTTCCTTTTGCAACTCTTAAGGAACCACTATTAAATAATGTAAAATGCACCAGTTTTGGATATCGTGAGATAGGAAAATTTCACATGATTATTCGTCAGAATAACAAAAAGGTTAGTAAATTCATCCTTTAATTGCAAAGACAATCTGCCAAATGTAGTTTTGATGATCAACTTCATGTGCAGCTAAGGGATCGATTAATTGCAAGAATTAACATAGCGGCTCTGAAAAGAGAGTTGTTAAGAATGCCGAACTGTTTTTTTAAGATGCCAAAACTGCGTGTATTAACTACGAAGCAGTGAGTGACCCTGCTATCCAGTCGATGAAAATTTCTAATACTTTACTCAGTTGTCATGATGAAATACAATCTCAAGGTCGATTAATCTTGCGTTCGTTTACTAGTGGTTCCTATTCTTGTGAAAATATGAAAGGTGATTCAATAAGGAATCGCAAAGCAAACCACAAACGTAAGAGCAAGCTGGGTAAATGTTTATCCTGTGGCAAATTTCGTTTTCGTAATTCATATGCATTTCGTAATGCTAAATGTTTTAAATGTGGTAATATAGGGTACATTCATTCAGTATGCAAAACTACTGGTCATTTTGGTTCATGAATTACTGAACCTTGTGATATAGATCCCATTATTTCGTCTGTTCCTAATGATCATTTATCTTTGTCCACCATTTTGGAAGGTAATGCTCATATTTAAAAGCGATTATATACATTGCTTGGTTCATTTCATGACTTCATTGTAGACACAGGCAGTATAGAGTCCATTGTTTCATTCGAGAATTTGAAATCTTTAGATCCTAACGATGTGACACGACCCATCTAAGTCTCCATATTGGGGATTACTGGACACAGACTGCCCATACGAGGATGCTGTGAATTGCTAATAAGAGATGATTATTCACACATACCTTGTGAATTTTTAGTTAGCGAAACGAGACTGTCAGTACTGGGTTTAAAGAATTTGAGAAGGCTTAAAGTTGAGTTTTCTTTACTAATTTTTAAGGAAAATTCTGATGCTTTACTTAAATATCTGATAGCTGCATGTGCTAAATGCAGTGGATGTAGGAAAATTCAGCCTATAAAACATCAAGTGCAGGGTGATCCAGTCTTTCTTAAAAGACGAATGATTC